TTCCAGCCATGAAAGCCTTCGACAATAAACAGTTAAAATATATTAGGGTAAAGATTTAAAATTAAAATTAAATGCACATTAAAAACATATAAAACAATCACTATTAAAAATAGAAAAATAGAAATGATACATATAAAAACTGTACATCCCGTGTTGTTAAAAATAGTAAACGTCGAATGCAAAATGACTATGTGATACTGTATCTTTCTTGACTTTATTTGTTGTAAACAACATAAAAATAAATAAATAAATAAATAAATAAAAATCAGTATTATTATTATATTTATTTATACCCCGCTTTATCTCCCCCCAAGGGGAGACTCAAACAGGCTTTGAGTAGAAATAATATGTCCAAACTATGCATACCACTGTATTAGAAATAATAATACAAACTATACACCCCACTGTAATAGCATAAATAAATAAATAAATAATACAAGTCTAAACTATGTATTCCACGGTATTACAAATAATAATAATAAATACAAGTCAAAACTTTTAATCCCACTGTATTAGAATATATATATATATATATATATATATATATATATATATATATAAAAACAAGTCAAAACTAGATATCCTAACTTATTAGAAATAAGGATAAATAAAATAAATAGAAATTATGTATATCAAAATTAGACATCCCATGTTCTATGAATAACAAACAAACAAATAAATAAATAATAGAATCACAGAATCATAGAATCAAAGAGTTGGAAGAGACCTCATGGGCCATCCAGTCCAATCCCCTGCCAAGAAGCAGGAATATTGCATTCAAATCACCCCTGACAGATGGCCATCCAGCCTCTGTTTAAAAGCTTCCAAAGAAGGAGCCTCCACCACACTCTCGGGGCAGAGAGTTCCACTGCTGAACGGCTCTCACAGTCAGGAAGTTCTTCCTCATGTTCAGATGGAATCTCCTCTCTTGTAGTTTGAAGCCATTGTTCCGTGCCCTAGTCTCCAGGGAAGCAGAAAACAAGCTTGCTCCCTCCTCCCTGTGGCTTCCTCTCACATATTTATACATGGCTATCATATCTCCTCTCAGCCTTCTCTTCTTCAGGCTAAACATGCCCAGCTCCTTAAGCCGCTCCTCATAGGGCTTGTTCTCCGGACCCTTGATCATTTTAGTCGCCCTCCTCTGGACACATTCCAGCTTGTCAACATCTCTCTTGAATTGTGGTGCCCAGAATTGGACACAATATTCCAGGCACCACAATTCAAGAGAGATATTGACAAGCTGGAATGTGTCCAGAGGAGGGCGACTAAAATGATCAAGGGTCTGGAGAACAAGCCGTATGAGGAGTGGCTTAAGAAATAATAATACAAATCAAGACAATGCATCCCACTGTATTAGAAATAATAATAACTAAAAACAATACAAGTCAAAACAAGATATCCCAACTTATTAGAAATAATAATAAAATAATTAGTATATATATATAAAGTTGACATTCTATGTTCTATTAAAAATAATAATAACATTGGTAAAATAAAAAATAAAAATAAGACAAGTCAAAATTATACATTTTGTCTTATAAATAATATCAATAAAATTATTTTAAATAATAAAATAAAGATAACACAAGTCAAAACTATACATCCCACGTTATATTACAAATAATAATAATAATAATAATAATAATAATAATAACTCTTCCGTTTCCATAATGACATATAATCTTCTGGAGGCAAACAGATGCTGAATTTTATCCTTTCTATTTATAAAACCTCATTGATAGAAAAATAAATATATATGGGGAATTAAGGCCCAAAATCCCCTTGTCATGCTCTCACATGGGACAGCGCATTAGAACTGATTTTCCACCAAAAACACGTGGATATTTTTAGGTCTCTTTTGAGCATCTGGATCCCAAAAAGATTATATGGATGGATAAATAGACAGACAGACAGACAGACAGATAATATACAAGATGCATGTGTTTCCCTCCCGCTTTCCTTCCTTTGCATATGGATTACAGAGCATTTCTTTTCTTTTTAAATAAGAGCCTTTTGAAAGAGAAACAGAGAAAAAAGAGATCCCCAAAGCCCCTGACCTGCTTTGACTCTGTAATCTGTCAAAGCCCTTTTACATTTATTAGTTGCAATAGTTTAGAGGAATAAATGGCATATTCTGGGTGCATATGCAAAATAGCTCGTGCAATAGTTTAGATGCGTCGATGGAATAATTTTGGCGCAGAAGTGCAATGGTTGTGTGAAACACTTGCAAAAGGTTTAGACCTGTCAATGGAATAATTTCAGCGCAGAAGTGCAACAGTTATATGCAATACTTGCAATAGTTTAGACGGATCAATGGAATAATTTCGGAACAAAAGTTAAATAGTTTAGTACAATAGTTTAAATGCGTAAATGGCATACTTTGGATACATATGTGGAATAGTAAAGTGAAATAGTTCAGATGGTATAATTTCAGGGTATAAGTGAAATAGTTATGTCCAATGGTTTAGATGCATAAATGGAGTAATTTCAGTATATAAGTCAAATAGTTATGTTCAATAGTTTAGATGCCTAGATGGAATAATTTCAGTGTATAAGTAAAATACGTGAAATAGTTTAGATGCTCAAATTGAATAATTTCAGTATGTAGTTGAAATACTTATTTGCAATAGTTTAGAAGTGTCAATGGTATACTTTGGGTGCACAGGTGAAATAGTCACGTGTAACAGTTTAGATGTGTAGATGGAAACATTCCGGTGCATAAGTGAAATAGATAAGTGAAATAGTTTAGATGCCCAGATGGAATAATTTCAGTGTATAAGAGCAATAGTTATGTGAAATAGTTTAGATGCGTAAATGTTTAATTTTATGTTTATGCTGTTTTCTTTGTATGTATTGATTATGCTACTTGGAAACCTCTCTGAGTCCCCTTGGAGAGATAGAGCAGTATATAAATAAAGTTTTGTTGTTGTTGTTGTTGTAAATGGCATACTTTGAGTGCATAAGTGAAATAGTTTATATATGTAAATGGAGCACTTTAGACGCATAAGTGCAATTGTTTAGATGCGTAAATGGAATAGTTTGGGTGCATGAAAGCAATCCTTTTGCCTTTGTGTACAAGTGTGTTTCTTGCGGTGGTGGACTGTGTGGTTGCCAACTGTAATGTCTGGGTTTGGAGACCGTCTGGGAGAAAGGCCTAGATCATTCAGTCTTGGCTGTATAATTTGCTTTGTTGGCAAGTTGGGACTTGTGGTGCAAGGTGTGGATGCTGGATAAATGGTCGTTTGCATCAGGATTATGGAGCATTTTTTCCCTTTCAAATAAGATCCTTTAGGGAGGGAGCGGGAGAGCTCCCCAAAGCCCCTGACCTGCTTTGACTTCATAATCTGTCAAAGCCCTTTTGCATGAAAAATCTCCCTCCATTTTTGTGCCAAAAGGGCAGCAGAAGCGGCTGGATTCACTGGCCATCCCAAGTCGCGATTTGTTGCTCATCGCATCCAGAGCAAACAGGGCCCCATCTATTTGCCAACGTCACACAAACAAGGTGAATGTATACATAATTATATGGCCCTCATCCCTTTGCCCTAAAGGCGTTTCACTCAGACGGTCTCCAAACCCAGAAATTACTGTCCGCAAAACACAGCACACCACCAAGGATTGTGTGCAGAAACACAAGGCAAAAGGATTGCTTTTCATCTAACTATTCCATCTCTGCTTCTCAACTCTTTCACTTTATTTCACTTATCCATCACAAATATGCCATTTACGCATCAAAACTATTGTACATATACACTGAAAGTATTTCATTTACACATCTAAAGTATTTCATTTGTGCACCAAAATTATTCCATTACACATCTAAAGTATCACACTGAACTATTGCACTGCTGCACCTAAAGTATTCCATTTACACGTCTAAACTATTGCACCATATGCACCCAAAATATGACATTTACAAATCTAAACTGTATATTTTTCACTAAAGTATTCAATGTAGGGATCAAAACTACTGCATTTATGGCATAAAGGAGCCAAAACTATAGAAAACAATTTCTCCACCTAAAGTATTCAATTTATGCATCTAGTAGACTTTCACATAACTTGTATACTCATGCATCAAAACTCTTGTATATAACAAGTGCCATAGTTACATGCAATCAACTATTTCATTTCTGCACCGAAAGTATCCCATATATATGTCTAAAATACTCCAAATAATTATTTCACTTATGCATCAAGTTTTGATTATACTTGACTATTTCACTTCTCCAAAATTATTCCATTGACACATCTAAATTATATGACTTAAATATTTCACTTACACATCTACAATATTCCATGTATACATCTAAACTATTTCACATGCCTAAATTATTTATTTTTATATATAAATTACTGTGACTTTGTATACCCAAATCCACCTGAACTAATCTTTTCATACATATTGGCTATTGGAGATAATAACTATACTTAAGCACCTAAGCTATTCAATATATGCATTGAAACTATTGAGGGTAACTATTTTACTTTTTATATCCAAACCATTTCACTTTTATGTATTATACATATTGGTTATTAGAGATAACGATTGTACTTAAGTACAGTGGTTCTCAACCTGGGGTCCCCAGATGTTTTTGGCCTTCAACTCCCAGAAATCCTAACAGCTGATAAACTGGCTGGGATTTCTGGGAGTTGTAGGCCAAAAACATCTGGGGACCCCAGGTTGAGAACCATGTATCAAATTTATTGAGTGTATCTATTTCACATTTGTATACGCAAACTATTTCACATTTATGCATCATATATATTAGCTATTGGAGGCAATGACTGTACTTAAGCACCTAAGCTATTCTAGTTATCAAAACTATTGAAGTTAACTATTTCACCTTTGTATACAAACTACTGCATACAGAAACGATTGCATGGTTATGCATCATATATATTGGCTATTGGACATAATAATTGTACTGAAGTAGCTTAGCTATTCAATTTCTGTTACTATTGTACATTCACACATCCTTTTGTATGTGTGATGGACTCACCAGCTCGTCGAGGTTGCGGAGGTGAACGAGGGCCATTTGTTGGGGCCTCGGGGGTCTCCTGGGGAGGGGCTCCTCCTGCCGTTGGTGGTGCTCATCCTCTGCCTCCTCCTCTTCCTCTGCCTCCTCCTGTTCCTTCTCGATCTCTTCCTCCATCTGGACCAGGGTTGGGGCCAGCATTCCAAACTTGGAGCCCCGCCGCGCAACCTCCAGGAGACAGAGCACCACGTTCTTCTCGTTCTTCTTGAGCACCAGGTCCTCAGTCTCGAACATGAGGACATCTGGAATGCCCAGCTCCTTGCGGCACCAGCGGATGAAGTTGGAGATGTTGTCGCGGGCCAGGAAGGACCCTGGGGCCACATTCCTCGCCTGGAAGACTACCTCTGCCCTGGGCACCCGGAGCGAGGCGGCCACCTCAGGGTGGAGTGCCTCGAACTCGGCAGCCACCCTGTTGAGGTGGTTGGCGTGTCGGCAGAGGCCGTGGCCAGTCTCCAGGGCCTCCAGGAAACCCTCGGGCCGCACCTCCAGGTCGTAGAGGGCATTGAGCCACTCAGCCAGATCCTCCTTCATGGCCTCCAGATAGGCCTCGCTTGAGCGGAAGGGGCGGATGCTGCGGCAGGCTGACCACTCGATGACGGCCGATGGGTCGGACATGGCGGGCGGGCAGAGGGTCACTGCAAGGGGAGAGGGAAAGGGTAATCTTGACCATTCATCATTGGGACACCCAACCCAAGGAGCCCCAAGAGAGGTCCCAAAGAAACTAGAGGTGGAAAGGACCCCAGAAGATGGAAGGGTCATCTAGACCTGTCCCCATTGGGCCAGAGAGGGACAACCAACCACAGGGACCCCAGGTGATGCCCAAAGAGGAGACCTCAACTCTTGGAGATGCCCATAATCCACTAGCATTGGGTTACCTAAGGGCTGTCCCCTAAAAGGAATATATTATTATATTTTTTATTTTCTTAACATGTGGTGCTAATCACTCTCTCGTGGCCTCAGAGGAAGGCAACACCATGTAACCACTTTCCTGGCTTGAAAGTGATCTTTAATTGTGCTGGGCTTACTTTGGAAGTTGTTGTTCTACTGCAACAAATTTGGTTGAATGAGTTGAGACTCTATCAGATATTCATTAAAAAACTAGAGCAACATGTGCTGCAGGATGTGCCTTCCGTAACAACAACGTATTTGCAGTTTAATAAACATTTCCCATGTTTTTCTTATGGAACCAATTAGGAGATGGTACTGATAACCCAGGCACGAAAATCGTGTCACACAGTGTTGTTGTTATTGTTATTATTATTACTAGTCCTGCAGGTCACACTCAGCCTCAATTGACATAATAATAATAATAATAATAATAATAATAATAATAATAATAATGTGCAAATCACACTCAGCCCTATTATTTTTATTATCAATATTGCTTGTTGTGTAATGGTAGTGACACTACACCTCAGAGGAAGACTAACCTATTATTATTAGTGCTGCAAATCACACTCTCTCAGACTCGGAGAAAGGCAAACCATTATTATTACTACTACTACGGCTGCAAGTAACTCTCTCAGCCTTTGAAGGAAGGCAAACATATTTCTATTATTATTATTATTACTACTACTGCTTCAAGTAACACTCTCTCAGCCTTGGAGGAAGGCAAACCATTATTATTGTTGTTGTTGTTGCTGCTGCTGCAAGTCACACTCCCTCAGCCTTTGGAGGAAGGCAAACTTATAATATCAGTATTATATTATATAATAATAAAGTATCATTTAATGTAATCATGATATAATATAATATATAATGATATTATATTGATATATAAGGATATAATAATATTTTAGAATAATCATACAAAATGTGTCTCTATATATATAAATGCTCGGTGCATAATGAGTACCTTAAAAACAAAAGCACCAATGAATGAAATCACACCAAATTTGGCAACAAAACATCTCACTACACAAGGAGTGACCATCACTCAAAAAATTATGATTTTGTCATTTGGAAGTTGTAGTTGCTGGGATTTATAGTTCACCTATAATCAAAGCGCATTCTGAACTCCACCAACGATGGAATTGAACCAAACTTGGCACACAGGACTCCCCTGACCAACAGAAAACACTAGCAGCGTTTGGTGGGCATTGACGTTGAGTTTGGGGGTTGTAGTTCACCTACATCCAGAGCCAGGGGCGGCTCGTCCATTACACGGTCGCAGAACACTTTTTTTTGCCAGGGGTGCAGAGGCGCCTCTGTAAATGCCCCTTAACCGCCACTTGAGGAGAGCCCCCTCAGCTCACAACAGCCCTAGCAGTCCGGGGGAGCCTCGGCTTTCTTGCCTCGCTGCCGGCGATCCTCTTCCCAAAGGGGCCGGGCCCTTGAGCCTCGCCTAGCCCCTCTCGTTCCTGCTCCACCCAGCCACCGGGTGCCGAGCAGAGCTGGCGCTCAATCGTTCTCCACGTTCGATCCCTTCCCCATGACTGGCTCCCTTTCCCGATCCCCCAGCGCTCCACTCGCCTCCTCTCCTCTTCCCAATCCGCAGGTGGGCCAAGGGGCGGAGCCGCCGCGCCTGGCCCGCTTCAGGTCCGGAGGCGTGTCTGAAGACCCCAGCGTGCGCACCAAAAGTCGCCTCTTCTCCTGACTTTCTCTTCAGCCATTGGGACCGAGAGAGAGAGAGAGCCCCTCCGGCTGGAGGTATCTCCCACCTCCGCTCCCTCCTTTGTTTTTGCGCCTACCTTCAGGAAAGGTGGGCATCTCCACCTCTCTCTCTCTCTCTCTCTTGGTCCCAATGGCTGAGGAGAAAGTCAGGAGAAGAGGTGACTTTTGGTGCACACGCCGGGGTCTTCAGGCATGCCTCCGGACCCAAAGCGGGCCAGGCAAGGGAGCAAGTGCGGCAAGTGTAGTTACTGGGATGTATAGTTCACCTACAATCAAAGAGCATTCTGAACTCCACCAATGATGGAATTGAACCAAATATGGCACACAGAACTCCCACGACGAACAGAAAATATATATCAGTGATTGGTTGGGGGGGGGGGGGGATACTGTTTGCTTACCATTGAAAATTACCTAGGGCCACCTCACTGTGGACTCAAATAATGATGGATCTGTACCAAACTTGGCATGAATATTCCATATGCCCAAACATGAAGGCAGATGGAGTTTGGGGGAAAAGGACCTTGACATTTAGGAGTTGTAGTTCCTGGGATTTATAGTTCACGTACAATCAAAGAGTGTTCTGAACCCCACCGAATGACAGAATTGGGGCAAACTTCCCACACAGAACCCCCATGACCAACAGAAAATACTTAAGGCCATCCAGTCCAACTCCCTTCAGCAGGGCAAGAAAACGTAATCAAAGCCCTCCTGACAGAGAGCCATCCAGCCATAGATATAGATATGATTCACACAGAGAGATAAAGTATTATAGATTTGAAAGGGACTCCTAAAGACGGGCAATTATATGTTGCATGTTCCAGAGTAGGCAAACCAGACAATCTCTACGTCAACACTGTCAAAGAAACATCAAGAAATACTGTTTACCCACAAGCATAAAGACATTACATATATTAGAAACCAGCACTTTCTAATTACTTTATTTTCCAGATCAACAGACTGGGCCATAACAATGCGTGGCAGGGGACAGCTGGTAATATGTAATGGGGGTCCCAAGGCAGCCTGTGTTGGGACTCAGAGGCTGAGAGAGTGTGACTCATGGGTGGGATAAAGCAAAAGGTCTTTTTTGGGAGCGGAAGGCAGACGTGGCTGACAGCGTGAGTCATTCCAGGCTGGGATCCCGGCCAAAAGGCAGGCTGTTTCTCCACCTGGAAGCCGGGCCCAATGTGATGCTGGCCAGCAGTGAATGTGACTTGCAGCAGCAATAAGAGTAAAAATAAGAGTAATGATAATAATACTAATGGTTTACCTTCTTCCAAGTCTGAGAGAGTGTGACTTGCAGCACTAGCACTACTACTACTAATAATAATAACAACAACAATAATAATAATTAGTAAATATGTATATAATAATATTTTTGAATAATCATACAATAACATACTGATCTATAAATATAATAATAATATAAATTATATAATAATATGTAATAAAGGATAGTACCATATAATCATGATACAATATTATCATTATATATTATATCATGATTATATATACATACATACATACATACATATATATATATATACTGATATATACAAATATAATATTTTAGAATAATCATACAATATATAATACCAATCTATATAACAATATAGCATCATATATACAGTGTGTGTGTGTGTGTATATATATATATATATATATATAGAATAATACAATAATATATATAAAATATGGAATAAAGGATAATATCATAATCATGATATAATATATTAGTAATTAATAATGATTATATATATATATATATATATATACACACACACACACACACACACACACACACACATGTAACATAACTATTTTATAATAATAATATAGAATGCTGATGTGGAATATTTATATACTATAACAATAATATAATATAGAATACTGATACATAAAATAATAACATTATAACTATAACTATAACTATATATATACACACACACAATAATAATAATGCCATAACATTATCCTTCTTGGTAAGAGCTTGGGATCCTAGTTCGAATAATCATAATCATAATAATACATGTAACTAAACAAGCAATATTTTATATCATCATCCTCATAATAATAAGATCAAAAAATAAACGAGTAATATTCAAATATAAGGATATATATAGAAATGTTTTATGTATAGATTCAATTTATATGAGTAACACGTGTGTGTGTGTGTGTGTGTGTATGTATATATATGTATGAAATAATTATATACGAATCAAAAATATTATATATATATATATATATATATATATATATATATATATATATAATATATATGAGTATTAATACAATATTAATATATATCTCTATCTTGCTGTCTGGACTCACCTGGGCAGCCATGTTTTGAGGGGGGGGGGTATATAAAAATAGATGAGGAAACAATTATATACAAATCAGTAAGATATAGATATAGATATATATCTACACACACACATATATCTATATAAATAAAAATGTAATGTTCGTTTGTGGGATGAACATAACTCAAAAACCACTGGGGGAATTGACACCAAATTTGAACACAAGGCACCTAACAACCCAATGTATGTCCTTCACTCAAAAAATTGATTTTGTCATTTGGGAGTTGTAGTTGCTGGGATTTATAGTTCACCTACAATCAGAGAACATTCTGAACCCCACTAACGATGGAATTGAACCAAACTTCCCACACAGAACTCCCATGACCAACAGAAAATACTGAAAGGGTTTGGTAGGCAGTGTCCTTTGGATTTGGAGTTGTAGTTCACCTACATCCAGAGATCACTGTGGACTCAAGCAATGATGGATCTGGTCCAAACTCTACAAGAATACTCAATATGCCCAAATGTGAACACTGGTGGAATTTGGGGAAAATAGAATGTTGACATTTGGGAGCTGTAGTGGCTGGGATTTATAGTTCACCTACAATCAAAGAGCAGTCTGAACCCCACCAACGATAGAATTGGGCCAAACCTCCCACACAGAACCCCCATGTGGGCCACAGCAATGTGTGGCAGGGGACGGCTAGTATGTAATATAAATATAATACAATATTAATGCAATATAATATTAATATAAATATAATATTAATATTATATTGCATTAATATTGTATTAATATGAATATAAATATTCATATAATATTTATAGATATATGTCTATCTCCCTTGCAATCTGGACTTACCTGGGCAGCCATGTTTTGGAGGGTGAAAGGTCAGGGGTCACCCAGCTTCTTGGTTGTCCTCATCCTGCAAAGGCCAGAGGTTGCAGCAACAGAGAAGGGTCATGGCATGAAGAAAGAATGAGAGGACAGATGAGAAGGAAAAGAATGAATGGAAAGGAAGGAGGGAAGGAAAGATGAGAGAGAAGGGAAGGGGAGGAAGAGAAGGGAGGGAGGAAAGGATCACGGGAAAGGAGAGAAAGAGAGACAAATCGGAGAAAAAGAAGGAAAGAAGGGATCAAGGGAAGGGAGAGAAGGAGATAAATCAGAAAAAAAGGAAGGAAGGAAAGAAGGGATCCAAGGAAAAGGGAGAAAGATAAATTGGAGAAAAAGAAGGAAAGGATCAAGGGAAAGGAGAGAGAGAGAGAAATCAAGCTGAGAAAAGGAAGGAAGGGATCAAGGGAGAAAAAGGAGGAGGGAAGGGAGAGAAGGAATGAAAAAGAGAGAATGAAAGAGTGCAAAGGGAGGGGTGTTCTGCCCTTCCTCTTCCTTCCTTCCTTCCCTTCCTCCTTCCCTTCTTCCTCCCGGCTGCTCTGGCTTCTTTTGCTGGGAAGAGAAGAGGAGGAGGAGGAAGAGGAGGAGCTCTGGATGGAGGGAAGGAAGGAGGGAGAGAGGGAGGGAGGGAGAAAGAAAAAGAGGGAGAGAGAGAGAGAGAGAAAGCTCAATAGCTGGACTTGCTTTCCCTTCCCTTTTGGCCTCTGAAAAAGAGGAGGCGGAGGAGGAGCCTCCAGCTGCTCAAGAGAAACAAACGCAGGGACTATTAGGATTACTATTAGTATTATTATTATTCCTAATAAATACATTTTATTCATTAGTCCTATATATACACCCATCTGCAAAATCATATAAATAGGTAAAAAAAACAACGATGCCAATATACACAAGTCATAGTTTTATATCATAATATGAATGAGACATATTTTTGTATCATAACAATATGGACAAGCAATATTTTTATATCATATTTGTAGATCATAATGACATGAAGGAGCACATTCATATTATTATGATATAAAATATTGCTCATTCATATTATTAATATATAAATATGAACGAGCAATCTTTTTATATCATAATGTGAATATGGATGGGCCATATTTTTTATAGAATAATAATAGTCATATTCTAGTAAAACAAAAAAGAAATATTTGTATCTGAATACTGCTAAAATATATTAAAAAGCAATGTTTTATATCATAATAATATATCAAAATAAATTAGTTGTATTTTAATATATATAGGAAAAAAATAATGAGAAATAAAAATAATAGATAAAAATAGATAAAATAATATATAAAATAATATATCAAAATATAATATAATAATATATAAAGCAATGGGAAATATTTGTATATCATAATAATATATAAAAACAAGTAATATTTGTATATTATATATATATGAAAAATATTTGCAAATAATAATTATATATATTTTAAAAAGTAATATTTGTATGTGTGTGTATATATATATATATATATATATATAATCCAATGAGAAATAATCTGTCTATAATGATATATAAACAATGAGAAATATTTGTATACAATAATTATATTAAAAACAAGTAATATTTGTATATAATAATATATAAACCAATGAGAAATATTTGTTTATAATAATACATAAAAACAAGTAATATTTGTATATAATATATAAATATATAAACAAATAGGAAATAATTGTATATAATAATTACATATATATATATAAAGTAATATTTGTATATAATATATATAAACCAATGAGAAATATTTTATATAAGAATTATATATATTAAAAAACAAGTAATATTTGTATAATATATATATATATAAACCAATGAGAAATAATTGTATATAATTATATATTAAAAACAAGTAATATTTGTATATAATATATATATATATATAAACCAATGGGAAATATTTTATATAATAATTATATATATTAATAAACAAGTAATATTTGTATATAATATATATATAAACCAATTAGAAATAATTGTATATAATTATATATTAAAAACAAGTAATATTTGTATATAATATATATATATATAAACCAATGGGAAATATTTTATATAATAATTATATATATTAATAAACAAGTAATATTTGTATATAATAATTATATATTAAAAAACAAGTAATATTTGTATATAATATATATAAACCAATGAGAAATATTTTATATAAGAATTATATATATATAAAAACAAGTAATATTTGTATATATATATATATATAAACCAATGAGAAATAATTGTATATAATTATATATTAAAAACAAGTAATATTTGTATATAATATATATATAAACCAATGAGAAATATTTTATATAATAATTATATTAATAAACAAGTAATATTTGTATATAATATATATAAACAAATAAATATTTGTATATAATTGTATATATTTAAAACAAGTAATATTTGTGTATATATATATATATATATATATACACAAATATTACTTGTTTTTAATATATACAATTATATACAAATATTTATTTCTCATTGGTATATATATATATATATAGAAACCAATGAGAAATATTTGTATATAATAATATATAAACAAAGGAGAAATATTTGTATGATATGTATGTATATATAAGTAATATTTGTATATAATAATAATATATAAAAACCAACAAGATTTTTTAATATAATATAATAATATGAAAAGATAAATATTTGCATATGATAATATTTAAAATATATATAGACTAGTAATATTGTTTATAAAATAATATATAAAAATAAATTAGTAAATTGGCCTACTATAATAATAAGATATCCAATATTATCATATCAATGGCACTCACTGGCTCCTCCAGTGCATCCCTATGGGAAGACAAGCCCAAAGTGCAACCTGGCTCTTGCACACCTGTTGGCCCTTTCTGGAAGAGCAGCTGGAGGCCTCCAAGATCCTGGAAGGTGTATATTAATATATTCATATTAATATTTATATTGATCTAGCTGATTAATGCCATGTTTAGGCTTCGACCAGCCCCTTAAGGGACCCTTTTCTATCTTTATGGGAATAGAAATAAATATGATTTAGTCCTCATGGTTTCCCAAGCTCTTTGGTTCCCTTCCAGGTACTTTGAACTCCATTTCCCACAACCCCTCTCCATTGGCTCAAACAGCAGAGGAATATGGGAGTTGAAGTCCAAAGTTTATTATATTATTTATATTTAATATAATACTGTTATATATATTTCCTTAAACCATTTTTTCCAGATATATATATATATAATGGTTATTATTTCTATATTAATATAACATTGTTGTCTATTATTTGTCTATTATTATATAATCTATATATGTAATATTTATTTTATAATATTATATTAATTATATTTAAATTTAGATAGATAGATAGATAGATAGATAGATAGATAGATAGATAGATAAATAGACAGACAGATATTGATATAGATATAGATAGATATGGAACCCTTCACTGCCCGTATATATATGTATAATTTTATATTAATTATATAATATATATCAAAGGTAAAGGTTTTCCCCTAACATTAAGTCTGGTCGTGTCCAACTCTGGGGGTTGGTGCTCATCTTAATTTCTAAGCCGAAGAGCCGGCGTTGTTCGTAGACACCCCCAAGGTCATGTGGCCGGCATGACTGCATGGAGTGCCGTTACCTTCCTGCCGGAGCAGTACCTATTGATCTACTCACATTTGCATGTTTTTGAACTGCTAGGTTGGCAGAAGCTGGACCTAACAGCGGGAGCTTACCCCGCTGCCCAGATTCGAACCCCCAACCTTTCGGTCAGCAAGTTCAGCACATCAGTGGTTTAACCCGCTGTGCCATCAGGGGCCCTGAAAATTCGGTATTGTAATACATAAAGTTCAAAATGCTACAAAGTCATGTCCAGCTGTTTATTTTCTTGAGAACAGTCGCCGATTTAGGCTGAAAAATGCGGTATAAAAATAAAGCAAATAAATAAATAAATAAATAAATATATTATTTATATATTAATATATTTTGTATATTATATCTAACATGTATATCTAATACTATATTTAATATTAATATTCTTATATTAATTACATTTATATATTATATTCATTATATTATTTACATATTGCACATTAAATATTATATCATATTATGCATTATATTATTTATAGATATATATTTCTTGCCTATCTTATTCTTCACTGCATATATATATATATATATATATATATATATATATATCATAAACCATTTTTTCCAGATTGCTGTTGATGTATGTTATATTATTTTATATTAATTATATAATATATTAATATATTATACAATATTATTATATAGTATTTGTATATTATATCTATATAAATAAAAATGTAATGTTCGTTTGTGGGATTAACATAACTCAAAAACCACTGGATGAATGGACACCAAAGTTGGACACAATACACCTATTAGGCCAACAAGTGACCATCACTCATAAAAACACTGAAAAACACAATAGAAGAGACTTAAAAAGCCAAAAAAAAAAATTAAAAAAACATTACAACGCATGCACAAAACCACTTATATACACATATACACAAATATATACACACACACATAAGACATATTCACAGACTGAGCCACAGCAACACGTGACAGGGGACGGCTAGTATATATATATATATATAGAGAGAGAGAGAGAGAGAGAGATTGGATATATTATATCATTGTGTCATTATATTATATAATGATATATAATTTTTATGAGTGATGGTCATTCGTTGGTCTAATAGGTGTATTGTGTCCAACTTTGGTGTCCATTCATCCAGTGGTTTTTGGGTATAATATATAATATAGAAATACCATATAAGAATATTGTATCATATATTAATATATTATATAATTAATATAAAATAATATTATAACATACATCAATAGCAATCTGGAAAAAATGTTATATATATATATATATATATATATATATATGCAGTGAAGAATAAGATACGCAAGAAATATATTATATTATATAACAATATGCTAAGTTCCCCTTTGGGAAGTTTTGTGTTAGGAAACTCCCCTTGACTCTTTTCTTGTTCCTCCTTTTTTCTGAGAAACCCATAGGCTTATGTCTAATAAGAAGAAATGAATATATATATATCCTCTTCTTGTGGTCCGGTGAAATGCACTTTAACAAATACTAAATAATGGAAGGCTGGCCTTTGAATAATTCAGTGTCATCTGCAATGCAATGCGCACAAAAGGTAAGGCAATACCAGTGGAAAGATATTGCCTTAGAGAACCCCCACATCTCAACTGAGATCAAGCAGGGTATCAATACATATTATATGTTCTTGTGGGTTTTTTCGGGCTATATGGCCATGTTCTAGAGGCATTTCTCCTGACGTTTCGCCTGCATCAGGAGAAATGCCTCTAGAACATGGCCATATAGCCCGAAAAAACCCACAAGAACCTAGTGATTCTGGCCATGAAAGCCTTCGACAATACATATTATATGTATTTATTTATATATACATTCTTATTATTAATAATCTGGAAAATGTTAAATGCTCCAAAATTGTCTATTATATATATATATATATATATATATATATATATATATATATATATAAATGTAATATATTTTATGATCATAGAATTATTAGAATCATATAGAATCATAAGAGTTGGAAGAGACCTCGTGGGCCATCCAGTCCAACCCCCTGCCAAGAAGCAGGAAAATCGCATTCAAAGCACCCCCGAAAGCATTATTATATTATTATACCATTTATAATCATGATAATGTTATAAATATTATATGTATTTATATACATTATTATTATTATTAGTAGTAATTCGAAATGCTCCAAAATTGTCCATTATTATATTTTAAATTATTATATTTATATTATAATATTATATTCTACTATTTGTAACCTGGAAATCCCAGATGCTTCAAAATTATCTATTATTATTATTGTTATTATTGTTGTTGCTGGCCCAGTTGGTTAAATGGCTGAGCTGCTGAACTTGATGACTAAAAGGTCGCCGATCCAAATCCGGGGAGCGGGATTAGCTCCCACTGTTAGCCCCAGCTTCTGCCAACCTAGCAGTTCGAAAACACGCAAATGTGGGTAGATCAATAGGTATCACTCTTGTGGGAAAGTAATGGTGCTCCATGTAGTCATGTCAGCCACATGACCTCAGAGGTGTCTATATACAATGCCTACTCATCGGCTTAGTAATGGAGATGAACACTAACCCCCAGAGTCGGACATGACTGACTTAATGCCAGGGGAAAACCTTTACCTTTACCTATTATTATTATTATTATTATTATTATTACTACTACTACTACATTTATATTATTATACCATTTATAATCATGATAAAGGTATAAATATTATATGTATTTATATATACAATAATAATAATAATCTGGAAATTTGAAATGCTCCAAAATCATCAATTATTATATTTTACATAATTATATTTATATTTTAATATATTATATTATTTTTAATCTGAAAATCCCAGATGCTCCAAAATTGTAAATTATTATTATTATTATTATTATTACTACTACTACTACATTTATATTAGTGTTATATTTTACCATTTACCATCATGATGATGCTAATAATAAGCTCAGCATTTAAATAAAAATTATTATTATTACTCTCATTATTCTAAGCTTAAAATTGAGATAAAAATTCCTTTATAATTATAATAATGTTTAGGTCTACATTGGGATAAAAATTCATCATCATCATCATCATAATTATTATAAGATTGGCACTGGGATAAAAATACATTATTATTATTATTATTATTATTATTATTATTATTATTATTCCTGGCTGAACATTTGGATAAAATACATTATTATTATTATTATTATTATTATTATTATTATTATTTTACTTACACAAAAACACAATATGTCACAGCGAAGAAGATCTGTATGCTGGATTTTGTACCAGAAAATCACAAGTCAAACACTTCCCAAGTGTCTAGGACTGTGTGATGCATTATTATTATTATTATTTGAAACAAAACAAGATGAGTCCACAGCAAACAAGATCACTCTGCTGGCTGTTGAATTGGATCACATGTCGGACACTTCCCAGGTGTCTAGGACTGTGTGATGTATCGACAAATAATGCGTGCAGATCCCAGTAAGGTGGCCTTTGCAGCTGACAGATGTTAATTTTGTCAGTGCATATTATTATTATTATTATTATTATTATTATTATTATTATTATTATTATTGACACATTATTATTATTATTATTGACTTATTATTATTATTATTATTATTATTATTGTTATTATTATTCTAAGCTCACCATTGGGAAAAAAATACATAATCGTCGTTATTCTTAGTCTAAGCTCAACATTGGGAGACAAATACTTTATTATTCTAAGCTCACCATTGGGGAAAACATATTATTATTGTTATTAGCTCAAGCTTGGGATAAAAAATACTTTATTATTCTAAGCTCAATATTAGGATATTATTATTATTATTATTATTATTATTATTATTATTATTATTAGAAACACAACAGGATGAGTCCACAGCAGACGCTCTGCTGGCTGTTGTATTGGATCACATGTCGGACATTTCCCAAGTGTCTAGGACTGTGTGATGTATCAGTGAATAAGTAAGGTGGCCTTCTGCAGCTGGCAGATGGTAATGTTGTCAGAGCTGATTGTGTTTAAGTACAGGCCAAGGTCTTTAGGTACTGTACTCAGTGTGCCGATTACCACTGGGACCATCTTGACAGGCTTGTGCCAGAGTCTTTGCAGTTGGATCTTTAAATCCTCGTATCGTGTCAGCTTTTCCAGTTGTTTCTCTTCAATCCTGCTGTCACCTAGGATTGCAACATCGACGATCCATACTTGGGTTTTTTAGCACGATTGTGAGGTCAGGAGTCTTGTGCTCTAACACTTGTCAGTCTGAATTCAGAAGTCTCAAAGTAGTTTGATGTGTTAATTTTGTTTTACTGTATATGTTGCTATTGTATACATGTTACTTTGATGTTATTATTTGCTTGTTTGTATTTTATTTTGCTTGATTGTAATTCTTGGGCTTGGCCTCATGTTAGCTGCCCCAAGTCCCCTTGGGGAGATGGTAGCGGGTTATAGTTTATTATTATTATTATTATTATTATTATTATTATTATTATTATTATTGTCACAGGCAGATGTATTTGTGGCACAAGTTACTATTATTATTATTATTGACACAAAAGCACAGTATGTCACAGCAAACAAGAGCTACATGCTGGATTTCGTCTCACAAAATCACAAGTCAAACACTTCCCAAGCGTCTAGGACTTTGTGATGTACTTTCGAATGATGTGTGCAGATCCAAGTAAGGTGGCCTTTTGCAGTTGACAGATTGTGATTTTGCCAATGTTTGTTGTTTCCAAATGCCAGCTGAGATCTTTTGGCACAGCACCCAGTGCGCCAATGACCACTGGGACCACCTGTGCTGGTTTATGCCAGAGCCTTGGCAGTTCAATTTAGAGGTCTGGATAGCGGCTGAGTTTTTCCTGTTGTTTTTCCTCAATGTGACTGTCACCCTGTATGACAATATCAATAATCCAGACTTTTTTATTTTCCACAATCGTGTATTGTGTTCCAAAACTTTGTGTCTGGATTCGAAAGTTCCACAGTATTTTTGCGTGTTCATTTTCCTCGACCTTTGCGGGTTTATGATCCCACCAATTCTTTACTGGTGGCAGGTGGTACTTGTGACGTAAGTTCCAGTGAATAATCTGGGCCACAGAGTTGGGTCTTTGTTTGTAGTCAAGTCTGTGCGATTTTCTTGCAACAGCTGAGGATATGATCCATGGTTTCATCAGCTTCCTTGCACAGTCTGCATTTTGGGTCATCCGCTGGTTTTTCAATCCTGGCCTTAATGGCATTGGTTCTGATGGCTTGCTCCTGGGCTGCAAGAATCAGGCCTTCTGTCTCCTTCTTCAGGGTGCCATAACCAGGTCTTCTCCTTGTCAACTTTTCCTTCAATCTTCTCAAGGAACTGCCCATGTAAGGCTTTGTTGTGCCAGATTATTATTCTACGCTCACTATGGGTAAAATACATTAGGATTTATTATTAACTCAACATTGGAATAATACATTATTATTAAGATACACAAGATTGGTACACAGCAAACAAGATCACTATTTTGACTTTTGTATTTGATCACGTCAGACCCACAGGACTGTGATATGTATTGGTGAATGTGTGCAGATCCAAATATGGTGACCTTTTGCTGCTGACAGGTGATTTTGTCAGCGCCGATTGTTTTCCAAGTACTGGCCAAGGTCTTTAAGTACTGCAGTGTGCTGATCCCCACTGGGACCACCTTGACTGGCTTGTGCGAGTCTGTGTAGTTCAATCTTTAAATCCTCATATCGTTTTAAGTTTTTCCAATAATAATATATCATTATTATTACTATAGGCTCACCATTGGGAAAATGCATTATTATTATTAGCTCAACCTTGGGATAATAAATTATTATAATTCTAAACTCAACATTGGGATATTATTAATAGTGTTTATCACCTCAACATTGGGATAAAAGTACCTACAGTATAATAATAATCCTTAGGATGTCTTCCTTGGAGGCATTTACACTAAATGAGTGACACTGCCATTGCGCTTTCTCTCTGGCTGACTGCTCTGTCCTTCCTTTCAATTGTCTTTGGCCCTTTTCCCCCTTGACATCTGAATGCATTGAATTGCCTTGAAAAACGAGAGGATTTCCGCTTAGCGTCACAGATCTGTCGCTTCTCATCCTTTTCCTGGAAACATCCATGTCCGGTGCCATTAACGTCTCTCTCGAGCTATCCTTCATTGAAGCACTACTTCCAGGAAACAGAGACTGAGTATTTATCCCAAATTTTTGGAAATACAGTGAGTGTCCCATATGAAAGAGGGATAATAGTAATAAAGTTTATATTAATTAGTTTATATGCTTAGATGCTTGTTTTAAAAAGTGTCAAAATCCTGTCCAATACCAATATTCTGGTGTCAAATAAGAATAAAATGGAATTTTATTGTCACTGAAGAAATTAATTTCTAGTATATATAGAAATTAAAATCACTATGATTGTATGGTCCTATTTCCATAAATGTAACTCAATTCATAGCCAATTTCTCTGGATTTTTTGGGAACAAACTCAAAGGTAAAGTTTTGGCAACCACAAAGGGACATGGGATTCTTGCTGTTGTGAAGACAAGCTAACCAAATGTTGCATTTATAAACATTCTGAAGTTTATTATTTTTTTAAAAAGAAAACATCACAAACCATGAAGCATTGTTAACAGTTTCAAACTCCTCCTTCCTTCCTCCGGGGGGGGGGGGGGGGGGGGGGTGTCTTTCCCACAACAGACTGATACTGGGCATGCGTACAACAAAACAGTTTTATTTCTTTGCACTTAAAACAACCATTTTTATTATTTAAAAAAACCAAAACAAACAGAAACAAAGAAGAAGAACTCGGCACACGACCGTTAAGCTTTGTGTTTTAATGTTTCTCCCACAAAACGGTGAAAAATACTAAAGTACAGACAAGGAATCATCGTCATCGTCATAATGTCGCCCGAGGCCGACATTATAAATATGGAATTATAAATTTAAAACATTTTTTTCTGGTTTAAAAAATAAATCTGGTAGTAAATGCAGTCCAGCGGTGGGGAGAGAGGGACTTCTTGTTAGTAGGGCCGGTCTCTGCGGTCCTGGCGGTGCTCTCCCCTAAAAAATGGGAAACAAGAAAAAAGGGGGTTGGGATCAGGTTTTCACACTCCCTCAGAGCAAGGAGCAGACACATAAACCACCTCATAAATATAAATCTTCGCTAAATTGTTTTTTCCCTTATGGGGCAGATATACTGACTGTTGTTGACAATCATTTGGCTCTACACTGCCCTCTTATGATTGCATCGGAGCACTGCATACATACAGATCTAGTCTGAGAGTAAATACTCGATCTATATATAAGACTTCATCATGGTGCCACTTAACCCCTCTCCCTTGAATCCCCCCCCCCTTGCCATCCCTACTTGTCCATCTTCCCAGGTCCTCCTCCGCGGCGTCCTCCTCGGCCTCCCATCTGCTCCATCAGTGGTCCAGGGGGTCCCCCGGGGCCCCCGCGGCGTCCCCCTCCGAAGCCGCCACCTCGGTCCATGCCCCGTCCTCGGAAGCCCCCTCCTCGGTCTCCACGCCCCCCTCGGAACATCCCTCCGGGGCCTCCACGGTCCATGAGGCCTCCTCCACGGCCGCCTCGCATGCCGCCTCCAGGACTGCCCCTTCCACCGCGGTCGCCACCTGAAGCAGAGAGACAGCACCAGGTGTTTGGACAATGGCATTACACAAAGGACAGCAGAAGCCAATCCCCACAGCTTCGGAATAGGGGACTCCCATCACATGACGGAAGCGGCAAGGAGAACAAGACACACCCAGGCGCCTAGGATCTGGACCCTCAATTGGCCCTATCATCAACTTCCTCCAGTCAATCTATAGCATCTGGAGATTTCTAGAGAACCTTTGTAGGAATCACTGGGTCCTCCATTGAGACTTCATGGTCAACTTCCTCCAGTTGTGTTGGAGAACACCTTTCTAGATAATCTAGGGAAACTTTAAAATCATCTTCCACACACAGACTGGAGGGCTTTCACATTTCTAGAGACAACACTTCTCTAGGAATCACTAGGTCCTCCAGGGCAATTGTGTAGTCAACTTTCGCCATTTATGCTGAAGATCATAGAGATTTCTAGAGAGAACACATCTCAAAGAAGTTTTTGATCCTCCAGTGCGGTTAAATTGTCAGGTTTCTAGCAGAATTAAACCAGAGAGCCATAGCTGTCATTTGCCACAGGTAAATGGAGATATGCTTCCCGTTTACAAAATTTCATCTACGTACAGTATCATAGAAATCCCTTTCTGTCATGCCCTTTTTTTGCCATCGCTATATGGAGCTAGGCCTCCTTCAAATCTATACAAAGATCATACATTCGCATTCAAATACTTTTAGTTGTGCTTTTTTGTTATTGATTGAATCCTACATTGGCCACTTTTTGAGCCAAGCACCATATTTCTTTGATTCCAAGACACATGTTAATTTCAGTGCCACCACCAACAAAAAAGCTGTATTTAACAATAAGAAAAGCACTCCATCTTTAGAGATGGGAAAAACATTTGCATCTTCAAATCAAAGTCAGTTTCGTTTTTTAGCAAGCCATGCAACCTTGTTGCGTTTTCAACGTGGGTTTGATGGGTGAGTGAAGCATGGGAAGGAAAAGGAGACCAAGATGGTGGTAAAAGAGCTTTAAAAAGACCCTTCAACCCCAAGGGCAGACCCCCACATGCATTTCACAAACAAAAGACTAGTGCGATAAGTGACCTTGCATCACAAATGCCAAGCTTGTCCGTTTTGCGAAGTTTCCCAACAGACCAATTGATGTGAGGTGCATTCAAGGCCTAAAGTTCAGCAAGTTGTTCCAGTATGGCTTCCCTTTTGGGCGTTTCCCCCCTCCCTGGGTGCCTTTCTTACAAATCTGAAGCAGTGACAGTAATACCCAGCATCCCCCCGCCCCCAATTAGTGTAAGCATCACCAGCTAACACTTGCAGTGCAACTGTGTGCCGCTGAGGCCCCATGACGCTATTCTGGAGTACACAAACGAAGGAAAAAGGGTAATACCACCTGTGCGAGCGAACTCCCTTACCACTATTTGTCCCGTAAATGAGCCCTCTAAGTGGCATCGGCTTCCCAAGCAAGAATCCAGGACCTTGTGGACATCACATAAGCAGAGGTCAGTGTCAACGTCAGGCTTGGAGCCCCGCCCCAGAGGTCAGACGTAATGACAGGAAACGTACCTGGAGGTGGGAAGGGCGGTGGGAGAAAGCCTTCTGGTTTCGGGGCCTTGCACTGGTTGCATTCAGTCCTCCAGGCGAAGTTCTGGTTGCCACATCCCCTGGGAAGAAGGAAGCAGTTTGTCTTCTCCAGGCGATTCTATGGCATGCTGCCATTGGTCATTACTATAGAATCGCATTGGAAGACCTAGAAAATTGATTCTGGGGCATTATGGAGTCAAAGCAAGAGCCTGAGGGGATCATGGGAAAATGCAATGACTTACGGGTTGGGGCACTGCCAGTCTCCTGCTCTGTGCTGGACATTTCCTCCGCCAGAAGGGTTTCCTCTTGACCCTCGCAACCCTCTTGGGGCAAAGCCACCACCTCGGTCACCTCCTCGGCCCCCCATACGACCCATAGGGCCACCAGGACCTCCTGGACCCCCGGGGCCTCCAGGACCTAAAATAAAATGGATAAGGTGAAGCTTATCAGTCCATTCAACGGATGTATGGAAACGTCCCTAATTGTATCACAGATGTTAGTGCAGAAGACACAAGGTATTTCTTGTGCTTCTTTCACCAATAGTACATGGAGGTGTGTTTCCCTCTAATACTTTGACTAAAAGGTCATCTACATATGGGAATATATGAATCCCTTCTCTTTTGCTACAGGTATACATGGGGAAACTCTTTCCTCAGATCTATTTACTAAAATATCATCTATGTATGGAAATATAGGAACCCCTTCTCTTTTGCCATATATGGAGAGATGCTTCCTTCGGATCCATTTACTAAAATATTGTCTACATATAAATCCTTTCCCTTCTGCCATACGTATATGGAGGTACAACTCCTTCTGATCCTTTCAATAAAGTGTCATCTATGTATGGTAATGTATGAATCCCTTTCTATCTGGGTCTTTTGCTAATGGTATATGGAGATAAAGTTCAATAAAATATTTGCTTCATTCTTGGCCTTGTTTCCCATTTTGAATCGGAGAAACTTTGCAAAATACTTTGGAGTGGGATTACCTCCACGGAGAGGGGGCGGCATCCCACGGGGCTCACGGGGAGGCATTCCTCCTCGCATGCTGTTCAGGGGCAGCTTCTTCCGAGGGAGGGAGACCTTCAGCTTGCTCCCCTGAAAGTCTTTGCCTGGAAGACAGGAAGAAAACAGTTACGCTCCACTGTTGCTGTTGTGTGCCCTCAAGCCCTATCACAGAGCTTTCTGGAGCTGAGTGTCACTTGATCGAGGCTCACCAGTAGATTTCCATGTCCAAGCAGAGATCTGGACCCTTGCCTTCCAATATTTGATTATATAACAATATAATAATGGTAAATATAAATTTAATATAATATAGTAAGTAAAACAATACAGATATTTTAATTCACTCACCATCGAGCCATTCCACAGCTGCTTTGGCCGTTGGCGGATCATCATAACACACAGTAGCATCTCCCTTGGGTTTCCCTGTGTCTTTATCAAGGTATATGGTTATCATGGGTTGTCCCGTTCTTTTATTCATCTAAAAAGTGAGAAAACGATTGTGTCCATATCTTGAAAATGCTCCCCGCATCCCCACATCATCCCCTCCGTTAGGAAGATGTTTCAGCAAAGGGACTCTGGTTGCAATCAACACCAAATTTCAGGATGGCACTGGCCACCCATGCCTTCCCAATCCCTGACACAGATTTCAAACCAGGATGAGCAAGGCTATAGTAAGAAAACACACACCTTGACCACGCCACACTGCTTGAAGAAGTCCGTCAGTTCCTCGAGGGTGACATTGTCAGTCAACCCTTGAACATACACTGCACTGTTGTCGGCATCGTCATCTAGGTCTAGAGGTGGGCCTGCGAACAGATGGAAACAAGTTAGAATGAGCCCATTTCCCCACAGCTTTATGGGTCCATGTACCCCAATGGTTTCCACAGTGATGCCCTGGCCCCCTTACCAAGGTCGAGGTCCGGCCCGTCGTCCAGGTGTCCTGCCGCCCGAGGAGGAGGAGAAAGAAACCACAGAAGGCCCCATTAGTATGCACTTTAGCGACGTTTGGACAAAAACACACCGCTACCTATTTCCAACCATTTTATTGGATGGCATGTTTTTAAAAACTCAAATTGACCGCACTGCAAATCAAAGCAATTGCAATGCACACCCTTTAAAAATATATAGATGCATTTGCGGCTTGCCATTTTAGCAGCCTTCTATACCATCACCTGGGTTCTAGAGGGGATTCTCTCTCTTAGGGGGCCAATCGGGGCTCTTGTTTACCAAGATTATTTTTAAAAACAAAACAAAACACCAAAGCCTCTTACAAAGTGGTTCCTTCCCCAAATTACAAAAAAGGAGCCATTCCTCTCCATACTTTCATCAACCCTTTTAGTACCCTTTGTTTTTATACCCGTCTCTTTGTTGTTTTGCAACCGTAAGCTTTAAAACCTTTTCGGCAATACCGGCAGGACCCATTAAATGACTTCTATGGCATTTTTTTAAAAAACCGCTTAAGAAATAATACATTATTTTTTGGCTGCATTTTTTTCGCTTTTAAAACCACTAGTATCCCCCGTCGTAATGCTCAAAAACTTACCACCAGGCTTACTGAAGCCAACTCGCTCTCCAGCGCTGCTGGGGGGATAAACGAAGACATGAAGGCCTTTTTTCCCTTTAAATATATAAGGAGCCTCAGGGGGCTCCAGGGAGGAGGAAGAAGAAGATGGGGTCTGGCTAAACATATATTCCAAACAAGGCATCTCTCTGTCTGTCTCTCTGTCTCTCTCCTTTCTTTCTTTCGTCACTAGGCCTTTCTTCAGGGCTCCTCGGGTTCATAATCGCCAACCTTTTTGTGGGTTTTTTTTGACGGAGGTTTTTTTTGCCCCATTTTTTGGGGAGAGGAACGGGATGGAATTAAAACTGCAATACTTGGCCAAGGAAGAAAATCAAAAACAAGTGTGTTCCCTATATAATTATATATATGTATATATTATTAAAACATGAATTTAAAGCACTAAAGAATGGGTCCGAGGGCTCCCTCCCTTCCTCCCGCGTACGCAAACTTGAGCCTTCATCCTCTTTTGGAAATTGGGGAGATTTTAACAAGGCTATTGTTGGGCGCTGATGACGCTTCCTGTCTGGAGAACCCATTAAGCATTAACAATCAATGAATTCAATGGGAGAAAGTGGAAGAAATAAACAAAAAAGAACAACAACAAATCCTAAACCATACATTCAACTGGATTTTTTTAAAAAAAGAAACAATCTTCTGCTGAAGGAGTGCTTTACAAGAGTATTAATAGACTGAGGTTTTCGAAGGCCTGAAGGCACAGCTTTGCGGAGGCAAGGAAATAAGCACAATAAAATATGTGGAAAAATAATAGGGTCAATCAATAGGTTTTGCTTTGAATATCTTATCTAATTTATGGGCAAAATTGTGGCCAATCAATAGGGTGAATTATATTTTTGGAAGGAATGATTGAATAGCTGTAAGGAAGGAGGGGGTAGGACCACCAGTTATAGCAAGTATTGCACTTTTAATCCAAAATATATATAGTTCATATACACAATTCCCAAGCTGTGGCATGCAGCTTTGCTTCTCCCCCACCCCCAAATACCACATATATATATGTATCTCTTTTTTATTAACAGATGTTTACACTTTTCTTAATGTTACACAATGCTAAAAGTTAATCACACTTCCCCTCTTTGCTTCTATTAACCAAACATGACGTTACCAAAAGTTTACACAGAAGGTTTCTTTTTTTTTGTTTTCCATTTACACAACAATGAACACATCGGGTAAAAATAATATATATTTCTATATATATGTGTGTGTGTTTTGTTTTTTTCCTCTCCATATGGACACCGTGTCTAGTCCCACTTTTCACAATGGCTGCCGGCTGAGTACTGAGTACTTTTTTTAAAGCACTGAGGTGTATACAAGGCTCTCACTTTGTAAACCTGTAGCATATAAATGCGACAAAGCATGTTAAAAAGGTTCCATGTTTAATTAACAGCCAGTGAAAATTATATTTAAAAAGATAAATAGATAATCCAGGCAATGAAAAAGGGCATGTTAAGAACATTGGGCTCCTTACCTGCCAGAGAGACAGCGAAACGCATCACCGCATCATGGAAAGTGGGCAAAAAATCCCCTTTTAGCAGCCAATTCACGGCGTTAAGAAGTTGCTTTTCAGCTCTGAACAAACTCATAAATCCTCCCCATTAATTTCCACAAATCACTCTATATTGGAAAGGATGGTATCAGAAATCAATCTATACTGAAAGGACGATATCTATATTGATAGGGTAATCTCTATTGAAAGGACGATATCTATATGGAAAGGACAATATTGTAAATCAATGTATTTTGAAAGAATATATTTAAAGGAGAATATCGGAAATCAATCTATATTGAAAGGATAATATTGGAAACCAATTATACTGAAAGGACGATATCCGAAATCAATTACACTGAAAGGATGAGATCAGAAATCAATCTGTATTGACAGGACAATATTGGAAATCAAAGGACAATATTGGAAACCGGCCTATATCAAAAGGATATCAGAAACCAATCTATACAGAAAGGACGATATCGGTAATCAATTCTATTGAAAGGACGATATCAGAAACCAATCTATATTGAAAGGATGATATCGGAAACCATCCCATATTGGAAAGCGATGCGGTGATAGCCGTTTCAAGCGTCCACCATCTACGCAACATACATATTTACAGCACTAATGGAGCCCTTTTCCATTCAAGCCAAGTCTGGAAGGGTTTAAAACTCTCCGACATTTTATTTATAATATATATATTTTTAAAAGGCTTGGTTGACGTTAACACATTGTTACAATTTAAAGATTGAAAAACCCATCTGATTTCATTTGTATCAAACTATGCAGAGTGGGTATTGTTTCTCTTGGATGTGTCAAAACGATTTGGCACAACAACGGCCATGTTTTCCCCACCTTCCTTAATAATAATAAATACAATATAATACATTTAATAATGATAATACCAAAAAAACTCTGCATAGTGTTGATTACACACATGGATGGAACACACACAACAGCCCCCTTGTTGTCATCTCGTGTTTGAGAATAAGGCCCGAAACCAAAGTGGGAGTGGATTTGGGATGTCTGAATACTCCGTTGGGGGAACTGGGCCAAAGGGCTGGCTCTCTTTGCCCCCAAAACCAACCTTCAACATGGAGAAACAGTGGCTACCTATTGGAGAGTATTTGGGGCACCGCTATGGAGGCCTGGGGCGAACAGAAGCCTTTTCCCATAAACCTGAGACACCTTTTGTACGTACCTGCAGCAACTGGAACAGAATGTGCAACGGAAGGGCCCCACAGAAGGGCGTTGTGTGTGTTCAACCCCAAAAAATTGTTTAAAAAAACCCCACTGTGGAAAGGAGCTGAAAGTTCCCCCCAAAACCCCTGCTCTCCTCCCGACCCAAGCAAAATGCTCCTATCCCCCTTAGCAATAAAGAAAACAAGAGTGGCCTGCGCTTCCCTCTTTCAGCCCATCTTTCCACTGCTCACCCTATTGGAGAGGCAAAGTCATATTAGGTGAGAGGAGAAAAGGGTTTGCTCTTACCCCATTCCACCTCCGCGGCCTCCCCCTCGGCCTCCTCGGCCCATGCTGCCACTTCCTCCTCCACGGTCAAACCCTCCTCGGCCCCTGCCCCGGCTGTCAGGGCCGCTCAGGCTGCGGCTCTCTCCCGAGAAGCCCCCCGAATCCTGGCCGTAGAGGCCCATGCTGCTGGGGTGGTCCTGGCGGAAGGAGCCTAGGCAATGGAAGGAAGGAAAGTAAGTGCTCCCATACCCTGAGGATCTGCAAGCAACCAGTCACACAAGTTGGGAGACCTCCACAGGCCACCCAGCCCAGCCCCATTCTGCCTTGAAAATGGAATCAAAACCCTCCCGACAGATGGTCATCATGCCTCTGCTTAAAAGACTCCAGAGAAGGAGACTCCCATCACCATCCTTCTTGAAATGGTTGGTTATTATTATATTACAGAATCTCAGTTTAAAGAGACCCCCCCAGGGTCATCCCCCTTTTCCCAAGAAGGAAAACACAATCAAAGCCCTCCTGGCAGACTGCCATCCATTCTAATGTTTAAGATCCCACCTATTCGAAGCTTCCTCCCACTTAAAAACAAAATGCTGCAGCCCAAGGCCTGATAGTGTGTGGGTAAAGAGGACTCACTGGGCTGCCCATAGCCGCTGCCCTGCTGGCCGTACTGGCTGGGGGTCTGGCTGTAGGAGCCGGTGGGCGGCGGGTAGCTGGTGGGGGGCTGCTGACCATAGCCGCTCTGCTGGCCATAGGCCCCTTGCTGGCCGTAGCCACTCTGCTGGCCATAGCTGCTCTGCTGGGAGTAAGTACCCTGGTCGTAGCTGCTTGGCTGGGAGGAAGAGTAGCTAGGGAAAGAGGGGAGGAGGAAAAAGATGCAGACGATTACCAAGACAGGCCTCTGCACATCATCATCATCTGGGCCACCCAAATACCACTGCCTTGTGGCCATGGCTGAACTGTATAATAATAATAATAATAATAATAATAATAATAATAATAATAATGATAATAATAATAATAATAATAACAACAGTATTAATAGTGTGGGCTGTCCAAACAATGATCCTTAATAATGAAATTGTTATTGTGATGTTTATTTGAACATTGCCTTTTCGCATTTCACACGAAAGGAAATGAGACATACCTGGTGGGAGGGTAGGATGGAGGAGCAGTCACCGGCTGCATGGGGTAACTTCCAGGGACCTGGTAACTGTAGTTACTTTGCCCGTATCCCAGGCTGGGCTGGCTGTAGCCGGCAGTGCTGGACTGCGGCTGGCTGCTCTCAGCAGGCTTGGTCCCATCCTGGGGCCTTTTGAGAAAAGAGGAAATCCAGGGACAGAGGTAAGCTATTTGAGCAAGCCCCTGCATCCACTTTGCTGCAAGCAGACATTCTGAATAATTTAACCCAATGTAATTTTTGCTTCAAAATCTATAACATGGTAAACAAACAAGCCTCATGGGGTGCTTGAGTGAAACATACCTCATCAGTGTTATCTAACTCTCTTGTAAAGTAAAGCAGTGAGAGAAAAGTGCAGTAAGCCTTACAACAATTGCTAATTGTTTTGACCTGAAAGAACACTTCTCTTGAAACTAGTGAATTTATTTCGGGCTTTTATATCCCGTCTTATCTCATCCTCTGCAGAGGGACTCAGGACGGCTAACAAATCGGCACCCCATGGCGCCCACATCAAAAACATAAATATACAATTTAATGGCAATATAATAATAACAATATAAAACAGTATAAAAACAATCAAGCAGTCAGCAGTCACCGGTTTAAATCATCATGCAAGGGCAGTCCATCAGTTCTATATAAGACATTATGTCAGCAAGTCAGCCTAATCTACAAAGGCCTGATCCCATAGCCAGGATTTTACTTGTTTCTGGAAGGTCAAGAGCGATGCAGTGGATCTAATTTCACTCGGGAGGGATAACAACAACAACAATCCACTATTTTGGGATCTGAGAGATCACTTCTGCAGGAATTGCTAGGTCCTCCAGCACAATTCTATGATAAATTGGTCTGAGAATCATACTGGAGGACCGAAATATTTGTAAGTAAGTGTTTCCTCCAGGGCTGTGCATCTGGTACTCTAGATGTGGCTGGACTCCAACTCCCATTATCCTGGGTCAATGCCTCCCCAAAATTCTGCCAGTATTTGAAGTTGTATCATGATGGGTCTGCCAAGTCCGGTACAGACCTTTAGTGGATCATACACACACACACAGATGGACAGATGATTAATTACCTGGCGGTGGCAGTGGCAGCCGGTTGCTGCCCATAGGAGGGGTAGGCTGGCTGGGTGCCATAGGCCGAAGGGGCAGCGTAGGAGGCCTGGGTGGTGGTGGCCGTGGCTGCGGTGGTGTCGTAGGTAGCTGTGCCATAGCCCTGAGTGGGCTGGCTATAGGCCTGAGGGGCAGCCGGGGCAGTATAGCCTGCAGCAAAAGAGAACCCAGTGAGGAAAAAAGCCAATGGCAGGCACTATTACAAAGCAGACAGGAGGCTATAAGGCCCATCACCCCACCCCATCAAGACTCTCCAATTTAGGTTCTTGAAACTGGCATCGGACAAGGGTTGAAAAACTAAGAGCAGCAAGCTGAGACACTACATTTTAACTCGGCTTCCTGAATTGGTTGAAGAGATTTAGAAAGGAAGCAATGAGGATCTTATGCTTTATTGTTCTATCTCATCTCTCTCTTTCCCTATCTAACCATCCATTTCCCTATCTTCCTATCTATCTAGCTTCATATATATTTTTCGATTTCTCTATTTATCCTTCAATTTATCTATCTACCTTCCTTCCTATCAATTTCCCCCCCTTCCAATCTTCCTTCCTATTTTTACATCTTATAGTAGTTAATTATCTCCTAATCTTTCTTCCCTGCTCCAGACAACGATCCAAAGTGTAACAAGACAATGTCTATCAAAGACAAACAACCAAACAGAATCAATATCCAAAGAGGACAAACAATGGCAACAAAACAATACCAACATCCAAAAGCGTCTGCATCCAAAAGATCATATAAATCAATGTTAGGTCATGTCCAGAACACACATGCAACATATATGTTATCAATGGGTGCCATGAAGCCCATAATCTGTCACACTAGCAACAAAGGAATCAGCTATGTACTTGTCCTTGCTATATCAATCCTTGCTGTATAAATCATATAATAATCTAACAATAAGATAATAAAATATACTAATACTAATAACACAATAATGTAATAATATAATATTAACATGAATAATCATATATTATTATACTATTTACACAAGGAGGAAACATGGTTTTTAATCACCGAGATACTTCCAGCAAAATGCTCCCATGCATTTTAATTCAACTGATTGCTAAATTCCCGAGATACTCCTCAAAGCAAGGCACAAGCCAAAAATTATGGAGGTTGATGAGGAACCATGCAGAAATGACCACCGAATATGTCCCATTCATGCTGTTCACCCTTTGGGGATGGTAATGGCAGCTGGTTTGGCCCATTTTAATATTTCAATTAAATATGCAAAACAACAGCACCCTTTATATCACAAGTGGGTAACTGGGACAGATCTAGGGCCCAATCTGCTGTCCCCAAAATAGAGTGTTTTAGGTGTCAAGAGAGAATACATTAAGTGGCCTGGAATCACAATTTTTGCAACCATTTGGCACATCTAAAGAGCCCTGTGAACCCCCAGGGCCACACTTTTGCCTACTTCTTTGGCTTTATATCATCATAATCTCCATTACAATAAAGGGTCAACACCATCAATGCGAACAGAACGGGACCAATGTGATTCTCCATGCAAAAATGGAGGGGGTCCAAACCTGTACTGGTCCCTTCTACTGTGGGAAGCACCAGGAAGAGAAGGGGGAATAGGAGGAGGAGAGGCACAGAATCAGAATGTGAAGTTTACCCATCATGGTCATCATCATCACCATCAACACCACCATATTTGGGTGAACTCAAGTCTTATACGCAAAATGTGGAACCCCCCCCCCCATTCCCCTTCTGCCATCTTGCAAGGCCTCAAAACTGCACCAACTACAGTGGTTCATAATATTCAAGAGAAAATCTTGGTATAGTTTGAAGTCCCCGTCACATTTTTTTCCAAGAGAAAAGGATGAAAGGGAGGGATGAAGGATGGGAGAGAGAAAGAAAGAAAAAGGAAAAAAGATAGGAAAGAGAGGGAAGGGTGCAAGGGAGGGAGGAGAGGAGAAAGGAAAAGAGAGGGAAGGAAAGGAGGGAGGAAAGAAAAAAGGGAAGGAGGGATGGAGAGAGAAATAAAGAGGGAAGGAAGGAGAGAGAAAAGGAAGAAAGACAGATAGGAAACAGAGTGAAGGAAGGAAAGGAGAAAGACAAGAAGAAAGAAAGAAAGGTAAAAGAGATGGAAGTAGAGAGAAAAAATAGAAAGGAAGGAAGGAAGAAAAGAGGGAGGAGTGGAGAAAGAAAGGCAGGTAGGAAGGAAAGGGGAAGAATTCAGAATCCTGAAAGCATCTCATAGTGGTTCTGAACCTGGGACTGTGGTTCTGACCCCACTGAGTGCCTTTAGGAAAGAAGTCCCACTCTCTCAGCCTCAGAGGAAGGAAGATTCTTAGAATAAATCTCAACCAGAAAAATCTGCAAGAGTCTGAAATGATTGGAAGGCCCACAAGGACACCAATCCTAATGGATCTTCCTGACTTAGTCCTCTTTCATACTGGCCCCTCATAAGCAACAAGGGAGGCTCACCGGTTGGGGGCTGCCCATAGGAGCTGGCATAGGCCGTCTGCCCATATGTAGCAGTCGTCTGGGCTTGGCTGTAGCTGGCATCGGTGGGCTGCCCATAGGTCCCATAGCTCTGCTGCCCATAGGCCTGCTATACAGAGAAAGAGAGATAAGGTTCAGATAGTACTCAAAGGCTTACGATTGCAGTAGCAGCCTTGAAGGCCCACTTCCTGTTTCAAACTTAGAAGGACATACGGATAAGAACATCAAAGGACAGGAGGAATGACATGTTATATTGCACACAAAAGGCAATTCAATCTCTGATGGACTGCTTAGCACCCCAGCTACAGGACTGGCCTTGAGAAATATTTTCTCAATAATGATAATAACACCACTTTTGAAAACTTTCCCCAAACCTGAGTTATTAATTATGCCCTTTAACCTACATACTTGAGGCTTGGTTTTAATCCTGAGAATATCAGATTAAACTGAAGTGTATTACTGTGTATTACTCATGTCTATTTACCAGCAGATCGCTCCATTTTATGTTCAGGGTGAATGCCATGATATCTTACCTGGGTGGTCTGGGCATATCCTTGAGCGGGCTGAGCTGCGTAAGCAGCATAGCTGGGAAAGGAAGAAAGACAAAGAATGAATGCTGTAATCCATGGCGGGATCCATAGATCGAAGCTGGGCACTGACCCGCTAACACCCCCCCTCTTCTGACTTAACAAAGGGCAGGCTAATTGACGATTGTGTAACAAGTAAGCTCTAGGCTACCAAACCCATTGCAAAACCATTGTGGAAAGCAGCTTAACTCATTCTGCTGGTGTTGATTTAGCTCCATTGAAAGTCAACCCGACCCTTGGCCCATTTGATTTGCCAAAGAGGACAATGGGAAAAAACTTACCTCTGCTGGGCTGCCGCCTGGCTGTAAGTGCTGTAATCTGCAAGCAACAAGGGAAATTATTATTAGTATTTGCAACCCGCTTTTCCTCTCCAAAAAATAAAATAAAATAAAGGCAGACTCAAAGTAGCTTTCAGTAAAACCAACACAATGCAATTTAAAGCCCTAAAATATATAAACATTAAAATACAATAAAATATGAACGGTAACAAAAAATACAACCAGTTGGAAATTCTTAAAATGGATTAAAATAACCTATTCATAGCTAAAGGCAGGCATTTAAAATAATAATAATAAATATCACTATTAATAATAAATATGATTAAAATAATATATTAATAATAAAAAATACAAATCACCATATTGATATTACTAATAAACATTAATGTTAATAAATATTTTTAATAATAAATACAATAACATAATAATTAATGATAATGATAATCATAATTATTACCCGCCTCTCCTGATGGCTCAAGGTGGGGTACAACAAAATGAAAAGCGTAGACACACACATACATACAATAAAATACACAGATAATAACACAAGAAAATAAGGTTCTGCCAAACACAGATACAAAATTAACATATAATAAATGATCAAAATAAAAGTTCAGGACCTAAGTTGCGCATGTTGTTATTCCTGTTAACACTTCTCAGGAATAACAGCCTCAAAGAGAACTTGGCCCAATTAAAATAAACATCCAAACAACTGTTCCTGAGTTTCCAATAGAAGAGGAGAATCCACACTTCACTCTTTTAAAAACATAAATACACACAAACCTAAGTTGTTGTTGGGACTCAATCAAGAAATGTGTATTTAAATCACTATAATATATTATTATTAGATTTGAGTCTCAATAAGGAGAGATAAGTGCTGTTTCAATAAATATATTACTTTATTATTACTACTAGCTGCTTTGGGTCTCAATCAAAAGAGAACAGCAGGGTTTAAACCAATATAATAAACCATTATTATCATCATAATCATTATTATTACAGTATTAGCTACTTTGGGTTTTGACTGAGAGAATTGCAAGATAAAAATAAATAAAATAAATTGGCGGTGTGTTTTAATGTTTTTATATTGTCTTTATTATAATGTGTATATTTATGCTTTTTCTTGTTGTGGGCACTGTGCTGTGCCGGTTGTTAGCTGCCCTGAGTCCCTCTGTGGTGGTTGAGAAAGGATAGGATATAAATACCCTAAATAAAAAAATACATTATTACTATTTTTATTATTATTTGATTGCATAGCTGTAAGAGACTCCACAAAACTGGGCTGCAGAAACATATTCAGAAGTTAATTTCCAACATTTGGGCACAACTGGATTCCATGGACTGCCTTTTTTCCTCATTTAATCTCTGCCTTGTGATTCCAAATATTATTATTCAAAAGCTCATGCTCCGCGTTGTTTTCCAAAGGCACCAGAACATTCCCATGATGGAGCATAAACAAATACAGCTCTTTCAAAGCCAGTTCAATAGAGTAAAAGAGGAGTTGCACCGAGCCTTCAACAAATATAAAGGAAACTTAAAGTTGATTACATATCCAATATGTATAACCTTGACCGATATAAAAATGAGGTTTCGAGGCAAGAATGCATAACCTGAATCCCAGATCATGAGGTCATTCTAAATCTATAGAAAGTAGGCCAATTCTCTTCAGATAACAAACAGAGAGGCCTACTTCTTCATGTTACAGCTAAATGGGTGGTCATTGTTTGTGAAAGATGGATGGATGTATTATTACATGGATCTTTTAACTGATTCTATTTTAATAGAGGTTGTTTTATCCAATGTACATACCTGGCTTATGTAATGTTACTGTGTTCATGTTGTTGTATTTTATTTTATGTATGGCATCTTTATGTGCTATTTTGTAAGTCACCTCGAGTCCCAATGGGAGATGGTGGTGGGGTATAAATAAAGTTTTACTTATTAGAAGGCAGTGTTAAGGTCAAAGGAAAGTCTAGTCTGCTTCCATTGTAATCTCTTCCAATCTCCCTACTTCCAAAATGGTTGAGTCATTCTTTGCCTTCCTCCTCCGTCTCCTGCTTAATTCATAGAGGTCCTATGCAACTTGGACTGCGTTTCTAAGTGCATCAACTATACAAGAACTGAAATCTATGACAAAAGACAGGCTGAGGAAAATTTCTGTAGAATAAAGACTGACACTAAAAGGCAAGACAGTCCCAACCAAAGATGCTTCAATATCCATATGATTCAGCCATCATATATTCTACACCAGGGGTCCTCAAACTTTTTAAACAGAGGGTCAGGTCACGGTTCCGCAAACTGTTGGAGGGCCGGATTATAATTTGAAACAAAACATGAATGAATTCCTATGCACACTGCACATATCTTATTCGTCGTGCAAAAAACACTTAAAAACAATGCAATAATTAAAATGAACAATTTTAACAAATATAAACTTATTAGTATTTCAATGGGAAGTGTGGGCTTGCTTTTGGCGGATGAGATAGGATTGTTGTTGTTGTGTGCTTTCAAGTTGTTTCAGACTTAGGTTGACCCTGAGCGAGGGCCGGGTAAATGACCTTGGAGGGCCGCATCCGGCCCCCGGACCTTAGTTTGAGGACCCCTGTTCTACACAGTAATCTCAGATATTGCACAGAGCAAGATACAGTGGAAGTTACTTCCCTTGATCTCATCTAATAAGGCCTAAAATTGCATTGGCTTTTGGGGCTGCCGCATTACACTGTTCTCCAATACATATTTTTTGGTTGGAATTCCTATCAAAAATGGTGGCAGGAAGTGATGCAATGGCTGCCATTTTGAGAGGGGACAGAAGTAAACATCAAAACCCAATAAGCCCACTGTATCCACTGGGATTTTGCTCCAGGATACCAAAATTTGTGGATGTTCCAAGTCCCACTACATACAATGGCCGAGAAAATAATATCCTTTATATCAAACATAATCAAGGTTTCCTTTTTTGTTATTAATGTATCTATTTATTATTTATAATATTATTACTTAGAATTTTATTATAATTATAAACCTTAACTATTAAATTATAATATTATATTTATATGGTATACCTATTTATTTATAATAGTAATTATATTATAACATTAATAAATTATTTATAATCTATTTATTATTAGTCAAATGGTTGAATCCATAGAAGTGGAAAGGAGAGTCCGAAGCCACTTTCCTATGTATTCCCCCCTATAATCTCATCTTTTTTCCTTCTCCCTCTCTTTCTATTTAGTCTTTGGTTACTATTTTGAAAATGCTTAATGATTCCTTTGAAAGCATGAAAGAAATTCTCAATAAATAATAATTGATATCCTCAACAGTTTTTTTCAAAAATAATCTTTCCATAATTATTATCTTTCAATAGTAATTTTTAAAATGAAATATAAATTTCCACTGACATTATAGTCCCATTTTTGTAAAAAAAATATGAAATTCTCTATAACAATTGAAATTCTCAATTATGTTTACAACCAATGAATTCTCATCCATTAAAAAAGGAATTGTTCTCAATAGATTAAATGAAATGAAATTGTCACAAAATTAAAAAAAGAATTTCCACTAATAGTAACAATAATTACCTAGATTTTAAATGAAGTGAAATTCTCATGTAAGAATAAAAATAATTTCCAATACTACATTTAAAATTAAATGAATGAAATTCTCGATATTAATCTGAATTCTCAGAAACTATTTTTAAAATTAATTTCCAACAATAATAAATTTAAAATGAAATGAATGATGTTCTCAGTAACAATAATTTCCAATATATTTTAAATGAAATGAATTGATTTTTTTCAACTATTTTTGGAACACCCTCCCCAGGGATATTAGGCAAGCCCCCATACTGTCCTCCTTCCGTAGGGACCAGAAAACCTGGATGTTCCAGCAGGTTTTCGAGAATGTTTAGTCTCTGGACCCAGTCCCTAGGTCATCAGTTAGTACTCTGTTTTGCACTTTCTCCACTTCCCCAGCCCTATGATACACTGTTTGCACTATCCATTGCCCAGCCCTTTTATAGTTGACCTTGTCATTGGTTTTATTGAACCTTGTCTGATGAAGTTATAATTGCAATTGGTTTAAATTTTTATTGATTTAGTAGGATTTTTGTGTTTTATGATGCTTTTTATTTTAATATGTTTGTATGATTTTCTTCTTGGCAATTGAACGTTTCCCTTATATGTTGAAAACTGCCCTGAGTCCCTTTCGCAGTATACAAATAAAAATGTATTACTATATTATTATTAAAAAATGAAATCATTTCTCATAAAAATTCCCAAGATATTTAAAATAGTGAAGGGTGTGAAACTCTCAAGACCATATTTTTAAAAGATTAAACAATCAAATTGCCAATAATAATAAATAGAATAAAAAGGAGTGAGTCTCAAGAATATAGTTTTAAAGAATAAATAAAATTACCAATAATAATAATCATCAATGGAAAAAAGGAATAATTCTCCAAAAGATATTTTTGAAAGGTTAAAGAAATAAAATTACCATTAATCACAATAAATAATGCTTTTAAAAGATTCCAAAAATAATAACGAAAAATTGTATAAAATGGAATTTCTATTGAGGGAAAAAAAGATTCCTAATTCTCTCTCTATATATACAATATAATAATATATAGAAATAATAACAATGTAATGTAATAATACTAGCATATTATATATATTAATAATGTGATATGTTATATATACTACAATTTATGATGTAGTACAATATGTTATAGAATGCTAACAGTATAATATACTGGTAGTGCATTAAATATATTGTGGTGGAATATAGAATAATAATATAATTTTCTATTATATATTATTAAAATATTAGTCTAATAGTATAGCACAATATAATATATAATATTAATATTGTGCTATGCTAATAATATATAGAACTATACTTCTAACTAATTCCTTAACTTATTGATGAGCTACGTATTTATATATTTTATGTTTTTTTATATGTTTATATTTTATATAGATTTTAACAGCTTTAATGCTTAATGGGGTTATTTATGAGGCCTGACTGAGTTATATGTTGTATCTTTTAGCCAATGTTGTTCAATTGTTTTATTTTTAACTGTTTGCTTTAATTTTTTTAATTTGTTATTTGCACATGGCATTGAATGTTTACCATTTTTCGTTTTTGGAAGCTGCCTTGAGTCCCTCCAGGGAGAGAGGGCATGTTAAAAAGAAGTTGTTGTTATATAATATTAATATTATGAGTCCCCTTGGGGAGATCAAGTATGGTATATCAAGTTTTATTATTACATAATAATAAGAATGTAATATGGTAACACTAATATATCAAATAAAATTACTACTGATTATATATAACAATGTATCACAGAATCAGAGAAGTGGAAGAGACCTCGTGGGTCATCCAGTCCAACCCCATGCCAAGAAGCAAGAAAATCACATTCAAAGCCCACCCCCTAGAGAAGGCCTTTCAGCCTCCACAACGGGGCATAGAGTTCCACTGCTGCTCTCAGTTAGGAAGTTCTTCCTAATATTCAGGTGTAATCTCCTTTTTTTCCTGTAGTTTGGAGCCATTGTTCTTCATCCTAGTCTCCAGGGCAGCAGAAAACAAGCTTGCTCCTTCCTCACTATTACTTCCCTTCACATCTTTTTTCATGGCCCCCATCATGTCTCCCTCATGCTTCTCTTCTGCAGGCTAAACATGCCCAGCTCTTAAAGTCACTCCTCACAGGGCTTGTTCTCCAGACCCTTGATCATTTAAGTTGCCCTCCTATGGACACATTCCAGCTTGTCAACATATCTCTTAAATTGTGGTGCCCAGTATTGGACACAGTGTGATTCCAGGTGTGGTCTGCCCAAGGCAGAATAGAAGGTTGGCATGACTTCCATGGATATAGACACTATACTCTTATTTATGCAGGCCAAAATCCCATTGACTTTTTAAGCCACTGCATCACATTGTTGGCTCATGTTCCCTTTCCTCCCCACACACATGCTGCTCTCGAGCCATGCGTCTCCCATTCTGTATCTTTGCACTTCATTTTTTCTACTTAACTGGAGTATCTTGCATTTGTCCCTGTTGAACTTCATTTTGTTCGTTCTGGCCAATCATCTCTCTAGTCCAGTGGTTCTCAACCTGGGGTCCCCAGATGTTTTTGGCCTACAACTCTCAGAAATCCCAGCCAGTTTATCAGCTGTTAGGATTTCTGAGAGTTGAAGGCAAAAAACATCTGGGGACCCCAGGTTGAGAACCACTGCTCTAGTCTGTGAAGATTGTTTTGAATTCTGCTCCTGTTTTCTGGAGTATTGGCTCTCCCTCTCAATTTGGTGTCGTCTGCAGACTTGATAATCGTGCCTTCTAACCCTTCATTTAAGTCATTAATAAGGATGTTGAACAGAACCGAGCCCAGGACGGAACCCTGCTTATGGCATTCTACTCCTCACTCCTTTCCAGGATGAAGAGGAAGCATTAGGGAGAATCACCGCCTGGGCGCATTCACTTAACCAATTACAGATCCACCTAACTATAGTTTTGATAATATTATACTAGTTTTGATAATTATAATACTGTTTAATTGTAGTATATTTGAAGTTGTCATGTTTTTGATTGTGGGCCACTTTGAGTCTCCATAGTGAGAGATACAGCAAAATATAAATCAATTTTTATTTTATGCTAATAATATAGTCTATATATAATATTAGTATTACACATAACTATATTATTAGCATAAAATAAAAATTGATTGATTTATATTTTGCTGTATCTCTCACTATGGAGACTCAAAGTGGCTCACAATCAAAAACATGACAACTTCAAATATAATATATTATGATTAATAATTATTATTAGTATATTATAATGTAATACTATAATATTAATCATAATATAATATAGACTGAACGAATAAACAACAAACTAATATTGCCCTATGCTAATAGTGGATTATATAGACAAATATTGAGAGTAATAGTGATAAAGCGGGATATAAATCGATCAAATCAAATAAAAAATTATAAGTGTTATTTAAAATAATAAAAAACGCGTTTCTGAGAGAGATAAATAGGAAATAGATGGCAGTACATCAACTAGAAGGTGATTTTTTACCACCTCTTCCTGGGCCTTCCCTGAGGAACCATTTTGTCCTCCATTTTCCTCCCAAAACCGTTTTCTTTTCCCTCAAAAGCGACCCCTCTCTTCGTTTGTCCGCCTCCGCCAATATTCCCACACCAGTTTCCCTTCAATTCCCCTCAAGAGGGGCCCATTTCCCTCCTTTTCCCCCTTCACGCGGCCCTCATTCGAGCCAGCCTCACCCGTCGACGCCATCTTCCCTCCTCCTCCTTCTTCTTCTTCTCAGCCGCTTGAGCCCTGCCCCTTTCCAACGGGCTCTATGCCGCGCATGCGCAAAGGAGCCCCAATCGCTGCTGCTGCTGCTGCTGCTTCCCCCGCCGCCTCTTTCTTCACCCGCTTTTTCTCTCTTTGGCCTCGCCCGCCTTCCTTATATAGAAACCCAATCTGGGACTGTTCCAATAAAAAGGAAAGGGGTGTTAATCGCTTTGCCCTCCTTTGTGCCACTTTGGCATCCCCCGCCCTTCTTGTCGAAGCTTTTCGTTCTCAGAGTCTTCCAATGCAATGGAAGAGGGATTCGTTCCAGAGAGGAAATTGAATCACTTCCCCCGCCCCTTATCCACTTTGGTATCTCCCGCCCTTGTATAAGCTTTTGCACTTCCAACGAAAGGGTACAGTGAAGTGAGGGGGAAATGAGGCTAGAGCTTGAGTGATGGGAGGAGTCTAAGCCTAAGCCCCTCCCACTGTGCAGCTTTATTCATCCCCTTTTCCGACTTCGACTCTTCCGACCTTCTGTTAGGAAGCTATGGCGCGGGACTCTTCCAATGAAAGGGAAAAGGGGGCGGGAGGGAGCAAATGAAGGCCAATGTAGAAGAACGCCACGTTCTTCCCGCCCCTTATTCTCCTTGGTATCCCCTGCTCTTCTTATTCAACGATGAGTCTTGGACTCTTCCAATGAAGGAAAATAGGGTAGCGAAGACAGCAAAGGCTTGCATAGAGGGAAGGAAATGGTTCTGTCCAGGTGAGTTTGAAAAGCAGGACTGGGCATGATAGCTCACAATCAAAAACATTACAAGTTCAAATATACAACAATAAAACAGTATACCATGATATATTATTATATATTATCAGTATTACTTATTTTTATTATTAGTATTGGTAAATTACAATATTATTGTTATATAATAATAAAACATACTGCCCTATCTCCCCAAGGGGACTCATTATAATATTATTAATAATATTATATGTATATATTATATTATGAGTATAGCACAATATTAGCATTATAAATTATTATACCACTAGACTGCAATATTATTAGTAATATATAATAAACAATTATATTATTATATATTATTATCTTGTACTATAGTATTATGCCACAATATATATAATACACTAGCAGTATATTATACTATTAGTATTATATAATACATTGTACTATATCATAAGTTGTAATAATAATAAGAACAATACTTTATTTTTAACCTGTCCTTTCTCCCCAAAGGGACTCTTTCAATCACAGGACTTGTTGCTTTGCAGGGGAATGCGGATCCGACGGCTTTGGCGTGGACAATGGGACTTGCAGTGGCCCCCTGTTGCTTCCTCCAGCCTCATGGGACTTCTCTTCCTTGTTTGGTGGATGGACATTGAGGAGGGTTTGGCCTTAGTGCCCGGCCTGCTCACAAATCCCTTGCAAGGTAGGCTAGCCATAGAATCGCACTGGCTTTTGTTGGCCCTTCTGAGCGACCCTATGGCATGCTTCAGCCAGAAAATAAGGAAAGCATTCCCCATGATTGCGCAAAAAAGGGTATCATGCTATCGCCCACCACAGTTTCTGCTATTGCCCATTCACATTTCTGCTATTTTACACTACCATGCGTGGCAACTATATTGTGCGATTGGACAGTTACCTATATCAAGCTAATATGCAATTGCATATTATGAAATTGGAAAAGCAACATATTGTTTACATGTAAAATAATGATATTACAACGTTGAGCAATAGCCAATATGCCATTTTGTGCAGGAATGATATTGTGCTATTGCGCAACAGCTATATTATGCCATTGGACCCTAACTATTTCTCATTTGCACTGTAACTATTGGGCTATTCCACAAATAACCTTATTATTCTGTACCACAATACCTATATCCTGCTATTGTGCATCAAATACTGTTGTTGTTGTTGTTCACTCGTTCAGTCGTCTCCAACTCTTCGTGACCTCATGGACCAGCCCACGCCAGAGCTCCCTGTCGGCCGTTACCACCCCCAGCTCCCTCAAGGTCAGTCCAGTCACTTCACTGGAGTCACTTCATAATCAAATACTGTGCCCATTTGTAATTCGCAAAAACTGTATTATGCTTCTGAGCAATAGCAATACTCCTGTCCTGCTATTACGCTGTTGCGCACACACAGTATCCCTTTATTGCGGGAGAACAGTATTCCACTATTGTGAAAAATACCCAGGTCCGTGATTGCGTGAGAATTGTATCCCACTGTTATGCACCCTGTTTTTTTGGGAAGGTCTCTCTTTTTGTTAGTTGTCACCTTCTGCCCATATTTTGACGGATTTGAGTGCGCAGTAACCTGTGTCAATTTCTTCCCCGCAGCTTTCCGCCTCGTGACATACTGCCTCTGCCATTCAGACACCGCTCTCCTGTCAGTCAGCCTTCTCTTCTTCCCGCTCTTTGGATGGCGGCCAGAATTGCGCATGGGCACCGTACACTTCCTCCACACCGCTGTCCTTGGGGCGGTCATCTCAGCCTTGATGTACCTCCTTCTGGCTGGACTTTGGGGCGGTTACTCAAATGCTGTAGTCAGTGGCTACACTCCGGTCCACTTGGTCTTCCTGGGTTCTCAGCAGTGGCGGAAGGGGCTCTCTGGCTGGATGTCCACCGCCTTGCTGGCCGGAGCACTGGTGGGGCTGACCCAGGCCCTTTCACCCCGGTCATCCTTCCTCCTCCATATCTGTGGCCTCTTGACTGGTTTGGCGTGTATCCTTGAATCCTAAACTGGCCAAAATATAGCCTTGGGTGATATTTAGTCCGAAGGTACAGGTCAAAAATGAGTATAGATACCTTCAAATGACTTCTCGGGAGCATGGGAGAGGAAGCCCTCCAAATGACTGGTCTGCTGAGCCAATAGTGGTGTCTTCTCCCCCTTTCAAAACCTCACTCTCGCCTTAGATCAAATTTAGCCAAAGGTCAACGTTCAAAAGTGACCTCTAGCCCAAAGTAACCCAAGTGTAGCCCTTCTGGTTTCTTTCTGGCTCCAATGACTAGCAGTCCAACAGTGAAAGAGTCCTTCCAAAAAGATATCCTTGGATCATGTTTAGCCAAAGGCCAGGGGTCAAAATTGGCCACCAATTACCCCAAATGGCCTATAAGGAAGGGACAGGCCTTTTGTCCAAAGTAGCCACAATGTAGTCCAGGTCCAGTAGCTCAAAACCAAAGGGAGTCTCTCAAAAAAAATACTATCGTTGGGCAACATTAGTCAAAGGTCAGAAGTCAAAAATAGCAACAAATCTGGTTTTAATCCTTGACATATCTCAGACCGTGTTGGGATTTTCTTTCTCCTTGAACCATCGGACAGGTTCTTAGAAAGGATACATAGCAGGATTCAAATCCAAATCCCTCCGTTCCTTCACTTCGTCCGGCCCCCAGAAGCCAGAACCCTTCCGGTTACGAACCCCATGGCAGCTGCTAAAACACAAGAGTAAGCCTATGTTACCCAGTTTGATTCCTTTTCAGTATGAACATTGACTTACCCCTAGACCAGACCTCACATTCATTTTCCTTCCCAGGATTTACGCAGCATCCAGTATTCAATTCCCAGAGCTTTTCCCAAGTGAATCCCCATCACAGACAAGAGGAAGTCCTTCCTTGTCCCCTGCCGTACCTTTCTCTGCCTTCCAGGAAGCCCTAATAGAGGAGGAGTTGCTCCAAGCTGGCATCCAGGCCTCCCTGGAAGACATGGTCAAGGAAGAGGTCACACTTTCCAAATCATCCGTCTCGTCCCTCCGGTAAAATGGTGGACCATGAGCAGACTCCAAAATACGGAGTGGGTTAGGATTAGGTTGGGGTCAGGTTAGGGATGTGGTCATGCTGGGGATGAGTAGACTGAAAAATTGGGGTTAGGCTGGGTTAGTTAAGGTTTGGTAGACTCCCAAATACACATTGGATTACGGCAATGATAGATAGATGATAAATGGACTCGGAAATATGGAATGTATCAGGGTTGGATTAGGATTAGTTTGGGGATGGGTGGACTCTGAAATATGAAGTGGGTTATGGTTAGGATGGGTTAGGGTGGGGTTGGATTAGGATTAGAGTGGGGATGGAGTTAGGGTTAGAGTTATGGTTAGAGATGTTAGAGTGAGGTAGTGGATGGGTTAGAGTTAGGGTTAGATTGGGTAGGTGCCAAAATATGAAGTAAACCCAAGATAGGGTTAGGTTAGGGTAATGCTAGGGAAGACTAGCCTCCAGAATATGTAGTGGGTTAGGATTGGGTTAGGTTTGGGTAGACCCTGAAATATAGAGTATGTTACAGTTAGGATTGGTAGGCCCCAAAATATGGAATGAGTTAAGAGTTATGGTAAGGGTTTATTTATAGTCTCGCTTATCCCACATAAACGGGCCAGCAGAACGTTGGATAAATGTTGGAAAATAAGGAGGGATTAAGGAAAAGACTATTAAACATTGAATTAGGTTAAGATTTTACAAATTAAGCACCAAAACATCATTTTTTAACAACAAATCAACAGAAAAAGCAGTTTAATACACGGTAACGTTATGTAATTATTACTGTATTTACGAATTTAGCACCAAAACAGCTGTGGATCCGGGTGGGAGGCAGACTGCGTTGGATAATACAGAACGTTGGATGTGCGAAGGTTGGATAAGCGAGACTCTACTATACTTCATTTCTATCCCGCCTTTCTCAACCCTGGAGGGGACTCAAGGCGGCTTACAAATCCGGCAAACAATAAAAGACATCTCATCAAAATATAAAACAATCGAAACATATAAGCAATTAAAATACATATCAATCAGTCAAATAGATTACAACCATCTACAATGCTGAGTCATTATCTCATATCCAGGTTGGGATGGGTATATCAGAGTTGGGATGAGTAGACTCCAAAATATGCATTAGTCTTAGAATGGGTAGATTCCAAAATACAGAGTAGGTTAGAGTTAGGGTGGAGATGAGTAGAGCCTGAAATATGGAGTGGGTTAGGATTAGATTGAGGATGGGTAGGCTCCGAAATACCGAGTGGGTTAGGGTTACAATGAGTCGACTCCGAAATATAGAGTGGGTTCAGGTTCGGGCTCGGTTGGGGTTGGATGAGGATGGGTAGACTCTGAAGGCATCCATTCTCTTTTGCAGGCTTCAGCAGCTCCAAAAAATGGGCTTCGCCACTGAAGAGGCAGTGGTTGCTTTGGCTGCAGTGGGCCACGTCGAGGGTGCCGTCTCACTGCTGATTGGCGGCCATGTTGGAAATGATGCCGTGGTGGTGGTCCCTCCTGACCGGAAGTAGGACATTCTTCGCAGTGTTGGTCTAGGATCACGGATGGTCTGTGCAGTCAAATTGCCTCCTTGCCATCTTAGGGGATAATGGGTCTTGAAGTCAGAAGCCACCTGTGTTTCTGACCCCTTGATTGTAGAATCATAGAGTTGGAAGAGGTCACATGGGCCAACAAGCCTTATGGCATCCTTTCACATGGCTTTCATGTCTCCTCTCAACCTTCTCTTCTGCAGGCTAAACAGACACCGCTCTTTAAGACAATCCTCATAGGAATTCGTGGTCTCCAGACCTTTGATCATTTTAGTCGCCCCCTTCCTCTGGACACCTTCCATCTTAGAGTCAGCATCTCTTTTGAACTGTGGTGACCAGAATTGGACACAGTATTCCAGGTGAACAGGTCTAACCAAAGCAGACACAATATTCCATGTGAAGAGGTCTAACCAAAGCAGAATACAAAAGCACCATGACTTCCCTCGATCTGGACACTAGACTCCTTTGAATGCAGCCCAAAATCCCATCGGCTTTTTGAGCTGCTGCATCACACTCTTGGCTCATGTTCAACTTGTTCTGCATGAAGACTTCAAGATCTCCTTCACATGTAACTCTTGTGGAGCCAGGTCCATCTGTGCATGTACGAGAAAGAAATCTCTATTTGGAAGTTTTTAATGCAGAATTGGACATCAAGAAGGCAAGACAGGCAAACAACTGGGAAGTCTACCCTTCTCGCCTAGCACCTTTAGTCTAAAGCAAAATAGTAGCAATAATAATAATCTATATAAATAAAAATGTAATGTTCGTTTGTGGGATTAACAGAACTCAAAAACCACTGGACGAATTGACACCAAATTTGGACACAATATGCCTAACAACCCAATGTATGTCCTTCACTCAAAAAATTTGATTTTGTCATTTGGGAGTTGTAGTTGCTGGGATTTATAGTTCAGCTACAATCACAGACCATTCTGAACCCCACCAACGATGGAATTGAACCAAACCTGGCACACAGTTCTCCCATGACCAAAAGAAAATACTGGAAGGGTTTGGTGGGCAGTGTCCTTTGGTTTTGGAGTTGTAGTTCACCTACCAGAGTTCCAGAGATCACTGCGGACTCAAACAATGATGGATCTGGACCAAACTTTACACAAATGCTCAATATGCCCAAATGTGAACACTGGTGGAGTTTGGGGAAAATAGAATCTTGACATTTGGGAGTTGTAGTTGCTGGGATTTGTAGTTCACCTACAATCACAGCATTCTGAACCCCACCAACGATAGAATTGGGCCAAACCTCCCACACAGAATCCCCAGGTGGGCCACAGCAACGCATGGCAGGGGACGGCTAGTAATGGTAATAATAATAGCAGCTCCTAATTGACTCGTTGGGCTCAGTTTCTACCAAGAGCAGGGCTGGCCTAAAGCATGATGATGATGATGATGATGATGATGATGATGGATCATATCCTCAGCTGTTGCAAGAAAATCACACAGACAGACTACAAACAAAGACACAACTCTGTGACCCAGATGATTCACTGGAACTTATGTCACAAGTACCATCTCCCAGCAGTAAAGAATTGGTGGGATCATAAACCCGCAAAGGTCGTGGAAAATGAACATGCAAAAATACTGTGGGACTTTCGAATCCAGACTGACAAAGTTTTGGAACACAATACACCAGACATCACGATTGTGGAAAAGAAAAAAATCTGGATTATTGATGTCGCCATACCAGGTGACAGCCGCATTGAGGAAAAACAACAGGAAAAACTCAGCCATTATCAAGACCTCAAAATCGAACTGCAAAGGCTCTGGCATAAACCTACAGGTGGTCCCAGTGGTCATTGGCACACTGGGTGCCGTGCCAAAAGATCTCAGCCGGCATTTGGAAACAATAAACATTGACAAAATCACGATCTGTCAACTGCAAAAGGCCACCTTACTTGGATCTGCGCGCATCATTCGAAAATACATCACACAGTCCTAGACGCTTGGGAAGTGTTTGACTTGTGATTTTGTGATATGAAATCCAGCATATAGATCTCGTTTGCTGTGACATACTGTGCTTTTGTGTCAATAATAATAATAATAATAATAATAATAATAGTAGTAGTAGTAGTAATTGCAGCTCCTGATTGACCTTCAAGCTCAGTTACTTCCAATAATAATAATAATCATCATCATCATCTAATGGCTTATAGTCCAGTCAAGCTACATTTCTACCATGTGCAGGTCTTGTGTAAAGTCTATTATTATGCTACTTGCAAATGGTTTCTATGAAGTGTAGGGCTTGTGTATATTGTTGTTGTTATTATTCTTATAGCTCTTGGTTTCTACCAAGAGTAGGTGTTGTGTATATTATTACTATTCCTGATTGCCCCCTCAGGCCTGTTTTTTACCAAGAGCAATCATAATAATCGTTATAATAATAATGCTTCCTGATTGCCAATTGGTTTCTACCATGATTGGTTTCTACCATGATGATTATGCTAATGGCTCTCGATTTCTACCAACAGAAATTCTTATATAAAGCCTATTATTATTATTATTATTATTATTGCTGTCTTCTCAGATGTGTAAGGTGTATTATTATTATTATTATTATTATTATTATTATTATTATAAACATTATTATTGTTAAGCTAATGGCCCCTGATTGCTTATTGGTTTCTACCAAGAGCAACTCTAATTGTAATAATAATAATATTAATAGGTAGTTTCTTTTAAAAAGCAATTTTTCCAGGCTCTGCTTTGCGTTTCCCTTAAACAAAGCACTCCCGAAAGATGCCCATCATCCAGCCAAGGAAGCCTGCCACCCACTAGCATTGGAAGGGGACCCCCAAAGGTCATCTAGACCACCATTTCGGTCTATCTTACTCATTATGGAGCCCCATCATAGCCTCCAAGTTTAAAACCCTCTCTACTGAAATTTTCAAAGCCTCTCGGAGTGGGTGCAAACCCTCCCCCTGCAGATGAGAAAGTTAATTAACAAGAATCAGTTAATTCACAAAATGAAAGAAGCAGCACGGTCCTTTTGTATTCCATTCTTACCTCAATGTCGTTCTAATCAGCAGAGCTTGAAAACATTGCTTTTATTGGAATAGAATTCCCAGAACCCCACCCAATAGTAATAATAATAATAGATTATTATTATTATTCGGACTTCCGAATTCAGACAGACAAAGTTTTGGAGCACAATACTCCTGACCTCACGATTGTGTTAAAAAACAAAGTATGGATTGTCGATGTTGCAATCCCAGGTGACAGCAGGATTGAAGAGAAACAACTGGAAAAGCTGACATGATATAAGGATTTAAAGATCAATCTGCAAAGACTGTGGCACAAGCCAGTCAAGGTGGTCCCAGTGGTGATCAGCACACTGGGTGCAGTGCCTAAAGACCTTGGCCTGCACTTAAACACAATCATCTCCCAGCTGCAGAAGGTCACCTTACTGGGATCTGCACGTATTATTCACTGATACATCACACAGTCCTAGACACTTGGGAAGTGTCTGACGTGTGATCCAATATAACAGCCAGTAGAGTGATCTTGTCTGCTGTGGACTCATCTTGTTGTGTTTCAAATAATAATAATTTAATATATTATAATATATTATTTACATTAATAATAATGTAATATATAACATTATTTTAATAATATATACATTATTGATAAGTTTAATATATTAAAATTATTATCATTTAACAACAACAGAGAGGAAACAAACAAGGACATCTAATCACCTCTCAACAAAAGTTTGCTCCAGGCACTGTCAGGCCATTATATGCTAATCAAGGTGGTCAGTTGAAATATTCACACCTAGCTCCAGCAGACAAGAGTCCTTTGTCCCACCCGGGTCATTCCACAGATATATAAACCCTTTTTCCTAGTTCCAACAGACCTCACTACCTCTGAGGATGCTTGCCACAGATGCAGGCGAAACGTCAGGAGAGAATGCCTCTAGACCATGGCCATATAGCCTGAAAAAACCTACAAAAATCCAGTGATTCCGGCCATGAAAGCCTTCGACAATACATCATTTAAATAATTTATTGTATATGTTATTGGAAATACTACATTAATCATGCGATAACAGTTGATATAAATTAAGAATATTATATCATTAATATAGTATTGATATCATTATTAATATTTTATTGATATCATTAATACTGTATTGTTTATATTAATATATTAATACCATTAACATATTGATATTAATATTATATTTAATTTAAATTAATAGTATTAATTTATATTATTTTTAATAATATATTATTGATATTATTATTAACAATGTATTGTTAATAGCATTGTTAATAAATAACCCAGACAGTTTTTAACTATGAATCTTAAACTCTTGTCCTTTGATGTCTGTTTCGTGTACTTAACATGTATTTTATAGAAAAGCAGTTTTAATGTGGATCTTTGATAGAAATATGTATATATGTTGAATTTTTGTAATGTTCGTGTTTTTTAAATTCTACAATAGGTCAGCCCATTGTGGAAAATGGGGGGGGGGGGTCGGCCTAGTGATTTTTGCATCCTTCCCTATTGCAATATGATGGCAGCAGAGTCTCATCCACGTGCATTACGGTCATGTAATCCTTTGCAATAATGGGAACAGTCATATAATCCGGTGGCCCTTGCTATTCCTTTCTTGCACAGGATTCTATGACTGTAATGCATGTGGATGGGACTCTGTTGCTCATAGATTTCAAAGGAAGGAATAGGCAATTATAATAATAATCCCCCAGGCTCCCATTTCGCCTCTTTTTATAAGAACTCCAAAATAAAGGCGTCTTCCCCTTTTAGAATCCTATAGGAGTCATCCAGTCTGGCCAAGGCAGGCAAAGGCACCACCCAATTCTTCCTAGCAGAGGGCCATCCAGCCATTGATAGATATGATTGAGAGAGCAATATGCGATAGGCATTTCATAGGAGTTGGAAAGGGACTCCCAAAGGCCATCCAGTCTGACTCCATTCATTCTGCCACAAAGGAAGGCGCCACCCGATCCCTCCCAACAGAGGGACATCTAGCCGTTGCTTAATAAATAATAATAATAATAATATAAGCCGACTCCTAGAGTTGAAAAGGGACCAGTCTGACTCCATTCCTGCCATAAAGGAAGGCACAATGAATGAATTAATGAATGAATGGGTTCCCTGAAGGTCATCTAGAGACCAATCCTTATCCCTTCCTCTGGCCTGGAGCTAAACTCAATTAAAGGCAGGATTGTATGAATTGGGAAAGAGACAGAAACAGCACCATTTAGTGGTCCATAGAGGCCCAAGATGAGGGTGGAGAACAGGAAGAAAAATGCCTTCTAATCCAGACAGAGAAGAATATGAATATAACACAGGTTTGTTTGGGGCCTCCGGCCATTTGGCTCCCAAAAAAATCCCCTTTAACAAGAGTTTAATTACCTGAAGGCTGTTCCATCCATAAATAAAAACTCCAGGGATTATCTAGCTCTCGCTCAGTCTGGGTTTAGGCCTGGTCACGGAACGGGGATGGCTTTGGTTGCCTTGGGGGATGACCTTCACAGAGAGCTAGACGGGGAGTGTGTCCTTGTTGTCTCTCTTGGATATCTCAGTAGCTATTCATAACATCGGCCATGGTATCCTTCTGGATTGGCTCTCTGGAATGGGTCTTGGGGGCATTGCATTGCAGTGGCTCCACTCCTTCCTGGAGGATCATACTCAGGTGGTGGTGCTGGGGGACACCTGCTTGGACCCCTGGCCATTGACCTGTGGGGACCCGCAAGGGTCTATTCCTTCCCCCATGCTTTTCAACATTTTATTTATTTATTTAACTTGTATACCACTACTCCCAATTTCGCTTGGAGCGGTTTACAGAAGCAGATTAAAACAATACAATTAGCTTTAAAAATAACAATAACAAAACAATAGGCAGCGAGAACAGGCATAGTACATGAAACCGCTGGGCAAGGTCATCCAGAGTTTTGGACTTGGCTGCCATCTCTACACAGATGACACAAAACTCTACTACTCTTTTCCACATTCCAAGGAAGCTCCCCGTATCCTGAACGGGTGCCTGGCAGCTATGATGGGCTGGATTAAACTGAGGATTAATCCAGACAAGACAGAGGTCCTTCTGGTCAGTCGTGAGGCCAATCAGGGTATAGGGTGGCAACTTGTGCTCCACGGGGTTACGCTCCCCCTGAGGACACAGGTCTGCAATCTGGGGCTCCTCCTGGATTCAGCGCTAACACTTGAGGCTCACGTGTTGCTGGTGGCTGGGAGGGCCTTTGCACAGTTAAAGCTTGTGTGCCAGCTGTGACCGTACCTCGAAAAGCCAGACTTGGCCACAGTGGTCCACGCCTTAGTTACATCCAAAATGGATTACTGCAATGCACTTTACATGGGGCTGCCTTTGAAGAAGGCTTGGAAGCTGCAGTTAGTGCAAAGATTGGCAGCCAGATTACTAACTGGGGCTAACTATAGAACATACCATGCCTCTTTTAAAGCAGGTCCACTGGCTGCCAATAAGTTTCCAGGCCCAATTCAAAGTGCAGGTGATTACCTATAAAGCCCTATACGCTTTGGGTCCAACCTATCTTTGAGACTGCGTCTCCTTCTATGAACCAGTGCTGTCTGTGAGATCTGCTGGGGAGGCCCTTCTTTTGGTCCCACCACCATCTCAAGTGCAGTTGGGGACGAGAGGACCTTTTCAGTGGTGGCCCTCCAACTCTGGAATGCCCTCCCAAGGGAGATTAGGTTAGCCTCCTCTCTCCAAGTTTTTCAGTTTAGTCGAAAAACATGGCTTTTTAGACAGGCCTTTGACCTTGAGTAGATTCTAATGGTTAGATATGAGGGCTTAGTGATTGCTTCACTTTGGCACTTAGATTGCTAATCTAAAACTGCCAGTTTTATTTGCAGGCATCACTGCAATTTATGAATTTTTAATTTGTTATTTAATGCTTGCTGTTGTAAATTTATGATATAGATATAGCATAAATTTAGTCTTATGTTTATGTATTGTTTATTTTATGTTTGGCACTGGTAGTCCCTCTGGGGAGATGGTCCAGGCTGTGGTGCAGCTAGTTAGTAGCCAGCAGCATTAAATCACTACTGACTGAGAGGTTGGGAGTTCGAAGCCAGCTCAGGTCAGAGTAAGCTCCCAACCATGGATAGTCTAGCTTGCTGTTGGCCTATGCAGCCTAAAAGACAGTTGCATATGTCAAGTAGGAAATTTAGCTAACGCTTGATGCGGGGAGGCTAATTTAACTAAAACCTTCCAGCAGCATGCGTAAGAATGAGGAAGTACTTCAAGGACTCGGTGTCACAAGTGGATGGTGAAGTAACAACTCCCCCTGTGGCTGGAATCGAGCATATCCTCATGAAGCTGGAAAGCTATAATGTTAAATTACTTCTGTGTCTGTCTATATATATTGTATGTGTATGGCATTAAATGTTTGCCATGTATATGTGCATTGTAATCTGCCCTGAGTCCCCTGTGTGGTGAGAATGGCGGAATATAAATACTGTAAATCAACAAATAATAATTGTGACGGGATAGAAATAAAGTTTATTATCATTAATAGCTTGTGGACCCAGCGGTGCCCGGGTTATTTGAGAAAAGCATTGTTTGTTTTTTAATAATACCCATTTGGTAATGTGTAATGCTATTTATTAGAAAAAAGCAAGTAGTAATTTTCAATCAAATCATATTACTAGTAATAATTTTGGCTCAAATAGAAAGGAAAATAAACTATAGCCATGTTTAACCACTCTGAGTGACACTGTTTTCCAGCCATTTCAAATAATTTTTATATACACTAAATGATCAAATACATAACTCATCTTGTTATCTAAATATATTTCATAACAGTTCTATCCCATTTTCTTCCTTGAAAGATTTAGATTTTAATCTGAATATTATGCAATCATAACAGTTCACTGAAATACAAAACATTTGCGCACGCATATTTCAACACCGAAAAGCTATTTTTATTATAAGAGTCAAATTCTACATGTGACATTCACTAAAATGTTTCAGTTTGTATGATAATAGTATTTCTATCTAAACTGAGGAAAAACATGGAGGAGAGCTAGGAAACAAGCTACAGGGGAAAAATAGGAAAGAAGCCAACACACTGAGATTGCGATGGGAATATAGTGGGACACGTTTCAGTTGAGAAATGGGGTCCTATTCCTCACTGGCTATCTGGATGGCTTTCCCTCATTGCTTTATTTATTTCTTCCTGCCGCCTCTTTCCTTGAGGGCCAAGTGGATCACCGATCCGCTGCTCATGTTGTAATAAGCCAGTGAGTTTGAATCCTTGATGAAAATGCCCTGCGAAAAGACACCACACACAAAAAAGGGTTATTATCATATCCTGTGGTTGAGTTCGAGGGCCAGAGAAGCAGATGGAGAAAACAGAAGAATGGCCTGCCTCAGGGGAGCATGCTTGCTCCATCAATGTTCAACATATACACATATGATCAGCCACTACCAGAAGGGACAGAGAGTTTCATCTATGCTGATGATCGTGCCATCACCACTCAAGCAAGGAGCTTTGAAAATGGTTGAACAGAAGCTCTCTAAAGCTTTAGGCGTTTTTACTGCCTATTACAGGGAAAACCAGCTGATTCCAAATCCATCTAAAACACAGATGTGTGCTTTTCACCTTAATAACATACAAGCATCTCAGGGAAGGAATCCCACTGGAGCATTGCAGCACACCCAAATACCTGGGCGTCACTCTGGACCGTGCTCTGACTTATTTATTATTTAGTTATTTGCAATATTTATATACCACCCTTCTCAACCCCGAAGGGGACTCAGTGTTGGAAACAATTCAATGCCCTCGATGAAACAGCATAAAACATTAAAATTGACCTTTACAAGAAGAACTGCTTGAGTATCAAGCAAAAAGTGGGTGCTAGAAACAATTTCATACGAAAGCTGACTGGCACAACCTGGGGATCACAACCAGATACAGTGAAGACACTTGGCTACTCTGCTGCTGAATACGCATGCCCAGTATGGAATATATCTCACCATGTTAAAACAGTGGATGTGGCCCTTAATGAGACATGCCACATTATTACAAGATGTCTACGCCCTATACCACTGGAGAAATTATATTGTTTAGCCGGTATTGCACAACCTGATATCTGCCGGGAAGTAGTGGCCAGCAATGAAAGGACCAAGGCAGTGACATCTCCGGCTCATCCTCTGTTCAGTTATCAGCCAGCATGCCAACGCCTTAAATCAAGACCTACAGAGATAGTCGCAGGAGCTTCTCAGCAAGCTAGAGTCCAAAGGTGGCGGGTTAAAATCCGGAACCTCAACCAGTGGCTGAGACCAGATGAGACCCTGGGCACACAGATCAGGCAACCTGGAGGCGCTGAACAGACTGCGCTCTGGCATCACAAGATGCAGAGCTAGTCTTAAGAAATGGGGTCACAAAGTGGAGTCCACGACATGCGAGTGTGGAGAAGAGCAAACCATAGATCCCTGATTACAATGTGATCTGAGCCCTGCCACCTGCACAATGGAGGACCTTCTTACAGCGACACTAGAGGCACTTGAAGTGGTCAAAGGAAATTTAGCATAATGCCTAGTTTTTAACTCTGTCTGTGGTTTTTTATACATTATAACTCTACCCTCAATTTGCTTCTGACATGATAAATAAATAAATCCCATGGTTATCCTTCACATTTTATTTCCTTTTACTATTCACTTGTTACAAGGGCCTCACCTCAAACTGGAGCTTCTGCTTCCCAGCCGGCATCCCAGTGGCTTCATGAATCTTGACTTTAATGACAGAGACCTAAGAGACAGAGAATGGTATAGATCATCCAATCAGCATTTTTATGGATGCTCTAGGTGATCAAAGCAAATTGTTTATTAATGTTCTAGGTCTGGGGAAGTTCTAGGTCCCAGGATTCCTTTCTAGGAATCATCTAGGCTCTTCCAAAATACCTTTCTAAGAATTACCAACATCTGCCAAGATTTCGTGCTCCACCATACCTCTCTAAGAATATTCTAGGTCTTCTAGGATATCACTCTCTCTCTCTGAATTGTTTTGGTCTTCCAGGGTATCTTTCTAGAGATGTTCTAGGTTCTCCAATATACCTATCTGGAGATTGTCTAGGTCACTGAGGATCTTTCTCTGGGAGCTGTTCTGGTCCTAGGAATGTTCTAGGTCCTGCAAGGATCTCTAACAATTTACTATATCCTTTAAGGCATATCTCTAGGAACGGTTTTGGTCTCTAGGAATTGCCTAGGCCTTCTAGGACATTGCTCTAGGAAGTATTTTGGTCCTCCAGGATACCTTTTTGAAAAATGTTCTAGGTGTTGGAAATAGCAATCTTCATCAAGCCTTCTCTAGCAATCTGTTTGTCTGTGATCTTCTTGTTTACTGTATGTATGTTCTGGTGTGCAGCTTCTTTTACACTATGGTTTATGAGAAGTTTTAAAAGAGGCTGCAGACCACATGCTTTTTCTTTCTCTCTCCTTTTGAGTATGTGACCTGTTGACAGCTGTTTTGTTACAAGAGAGATGCCCTGGCTCACTGGCACATGGAACCACCTCAAAGATATTTGAAACTGGACTAACAAGTTTTTATACTTGTGCATGCTGATCACATGACAGTTGTGAGTAAATGAAATACGCTATTTCCATCAAAGTCTACTTCATGTTTGTCTCTTGAGCGTGTGATATGAAACAAATTGTTTCATGGGAGAGTAACCTTTTTAGGCACTGAAAAAGACAACACTTCTAAAGCTCTGCTGTTTTTATGCACTGGCAAATCTGTTTTTCTGACACATCGGAGATTGCAGGTTATTCTATCAAACAACTGAAACCATTACCTAGCATAATTACATTTGGTTATGTACTACAAGAGGAGATTCTGCACTAAAGGTTTTTTCTGGCTCTTCTCTAAAAGGTTCTCCAATACTAGGTCACCCAAGATACCTTTCTAGTGATGTGCTAGGTCCTCCAGGTACCATACTAGGAATGTTCTAGGTCACACATGCAAAGGTTATAGCAATGTTCTAGGTCCTCTATGATACTGGTTTTGGTCCTCCGGGATACATTTCTGGGAGCATTCTAGATCACTCAAGGTACCTTACCTGGTCTGAGAGTGGGAGGGTGAAGACCAGCACCTGGCCATTCAGCTTCCATTCCGTCTTGTCCTGCATGTTGGGGACCTGGACCTTGACTGTGACAGGGCCCTAGGAAATGAAGGGATGTCAGAAATATGAAATGGGTATTTTTTATTACAAAAGTGTGAATCAAGCACTGAAAGTGTTAGGCCGAAGCCTGTTAAGAGTTATTGGGCCAGAGCTGGCGTCGTCCTGAGAAGAGTGAGTAGGCCGAAGCCTGTCAAGAGTTAGTTTTGCCTCAGTGAGGGAACGCATCAGTCTGTGTAAGGAGCCAGTGTATAAAGCTACTATGTATTTGTTTGTGTTGTAGAAACCTTGTTATTGTAAATAGTGTAACTATATTATTTTACTACAAAAAGCCTCCTTTGGAAGATAAAACATTGGTCTGTGTCTTTTTGTTCTTTTATCACTTTGTGCTACTGGCGCTGGGTCATGCTGCTGCTGCAGAATTGCTCTGCTGTACATTTATGGGGAGGGTCTTTTTTATTAAGCCCACTTGCCCAATAGTTAAGAGAGTGGTAAACCCAGAGATTCCCTCTCCAGTTTTGTAGCATTCTGTGGCTTGGCGCACCTTGTTCCTGCGCAGGAACTCCTCCTCGGGCATCAGGTTGTCCTCCGACTTGAGCTTCTTGGAGGCTGGTTCGTCTTCCATGGGCGGAGGAGGATGAACCGGGGGCATCGGGGCTGGAGCACTGACGGGGGCCACAGGGGGAGCTGGGACAAATGCTGGAAAAGGCATTAAAAACATCATTGAATATCCCCCCTCTCTCAACCTGGGTCCTTGGTTTGGAATTATATTGAAAAGACACAAAATTAGGGGGATTTTAAGGGAAAGAGACACGGTTCCTGACTCATCTTGGAAAGTTAGAAAGGGTCACAGATGAAGCAGAGAGATAGCATGCAGCCAAGGAGGCCAACCACGATAAATGCTATCAAAACACAGATACACATAAGAAGAGGAAGAGAAGACAAGCACATTAGGTCTTGGTTAGCAGATCTCTTGAAGGAGAGGGGAAAAGGCACACAAGGACACTCCAGGCGCACTTACCTGGGCTGCTGACCGGTCCCTGTCTGTATCCTAGATTGCAAAAATTAGATAGAATTAGTCAACTGAGGAGAAAGAAAATCTGAAGAAGAAAGCTTCAGAAACCCAATAAGTTCCAAAGGAAGAGGGCTTTTAAGGGAATTTGGGGAGAGAGTGGAAAATATCAGACTAGATTAAAATACCAAAATATATTAAAGGTAAAGGTTTCCCCTGACATGAAGTCTAGTTGTGTCTGACTCTGGAGGGTCGTGCTCATCTCCATTTCTAAGCTGAAGAGCATTGTCCGTGGACTGCATGGAGCACCTTTACCTTCCTGCAGAAGCGGTACCTATTGATCTGCTCACATCTGGATGTTTTTTGAACTGCTAGGTTGGCAGACGCTTGGGCTATCAGCAGGAGCTCACCCTGCTCCCCGGATTCGAACTGCCAACCTTTCGGTCAGCAAGTTCAGCAGCTCTGTGGTTTAACCCACTGCGCCACAAGGGGGGCAAAAACATATTAGGATATCAAAATATAATAAAAAATATAAAAGTATTAAAACAATATTTGAAAATTTTGTAAGTCTATGATAGATTGATTTGTTCATTTATTCAGCAACTGATTGATTCGTTTCATTGATGTTTCTTCTTTCAGGAGTTGACGGATGGAGTCCATAAGGGCCTGACCAGACTGGGTTTCTCCCCACTGTGAGCATATGTGAAATTATGACCCTCTGAAGGTGGCGTGGGGAACTGACCTGTGGGCACAATCATGGGCGGAGGCCGTGGGGCCATGATGGGGGGTGCAGAGGGAGGCATGGGCACCACGTTGATCCGGGGGGCGTGGAGGATTGGGGGCATGGAGGCTGCGATCACAGAGCCTGGGGGCAGCCGTACCACCGAGGCCATTGGGGGCCGGGGCATCACCGGCACTGCGCTCACCACTGTCGTCCGCATGGGGGGTGGCATCTGTGGGAAGGCACACACAAACACCAGAAAGAAGGACTCAGTCAATGCAATACTAGCTAGAAGGAAAACAGTATGCCACCATTGTATTCATTTGACCAATTACGAACAACAGTAACCACAGATGATTACGTTGTCAGATGTCTGATTGATCAGAAAGTTTTCAGTGGGGTTCTCGTTTAGAACCATATCAATTTGGGATTTTTAGCCATTCATTTCTTATGTTGCTGCCTCTTTGGGTCGGTCAGTTTCCACGTTTGAGCAAACAATATTCATATATCAGATCTCACAATCTCTGAGGATGCCTGCCATAGATGTGGGTGGAACGTCAGGAGAGAATGCCTCTGGAACATGGCCAGACAGCCCTGAAAACTCACAGCAACCCACTATTCATATATATACACACATATACATATATATATACACATACATACATACATACATACTATAGCATATATATATATATATATATATATATATATATATATATATATATATGAATGAGTGAATATTGTTTGCTCAAAACAATTATATATACATTAACACACTCATACATCTAGCATGATAGTCTATCTATCTATCTATCTATCATGGTCAATCAATACCAAAAAAAAGAAGAAACGTCAACATAGTATTTAGGTATTAGGAAACATTATCAAAAGCAGAGTTAAAAGCTAGTATTGCATATGACAGATAAAACTTTATTAAACATTTAAATACTTTAGATGATAAGGGTAAAAACTAAAATAAGTATGAAAACCTTCTAAGACTATATAATATGAAGTGATCCGTGTTCACTGTCCAGTACTTTACCAATAATTTAACACATTAAATTAGAATATATATTATAATAACACATTACAAAATATAACATATATAATAATATTTATTTATTTACTACATTTATATGCCGCCCTTCTCACCTCGAAGGGGACTCACAATAGATAAATATAGATAAATATAGACATATATTAAGTATATATATTTCATTCTTTGGGGATGAACCCCTTCCTCTGTCCAGGCCGCCCCTGCCCCTTCCCTCCCAGCCTTCTCTTGGCCTGCGGCTTCCCTTCCACTCACTCACCGCAGGGGGCCGTGGCACAGCTGAGATGGGGGGCCCGCCAGTGGCGAGGAGGCTGGGGGCGGAGGTGGGGGGCCCCAGCGGGTGGGGGTGGGGCTGGGCCTGGGGCAGGGGGGGCTGGGCCGGAGGGGCCATCTCGCTGGGCTTGCTGGGCCCGATCTTCTCCTTGCTGTCATCCTCAGGCACCAGCCCCTTGGCCTTGTGGATGGCCTCGATCTGCTCCTGGAGGGTGATGTTCGCCTGGGCTGCCTGCTGTGTCCGTGCCATGCTCCCCGAGTGGCCGTCCCACGTCACCTGCACATAACAGCCATTATAAACAAAACATTTAGGCGTCCCAACAGCAGCAACAGCAGCAATGACACTCTTGTCTTGGGACGTACCTTCTCCTCCGGCTTCTGGATCTCCTCTTCCCCGATCTTCTTCCCAATGGCGGTCTCCTCCACACCAAAAATGTCAGTACGGCGCTCAGCCAGCTGCTTCAAGCTGCTCTCAATGTCTAGGCCTAGATACATTCAAATATATTAATTCATATCAACATACTTTCACTCTCCCTCCAGATCTGAAGCCCACTTTCTCCCTTTCCCAGCTCTACTTTCACCCTTCTCCGCCTTTACTTTCTCCCTTCTCCAGCTCTGAAAAGGCATACCAGATGGGCCTTTAATCTACTGAAAGTTTAAATTGTGTTTTATAGTGTATTCAGTCTGCGTTACCATGGGTTTTAATTTTTTTTAAATAATTTTCATTAGATATGTTGTGGTTTGTTGATTATGTTAATTTTTTGTGGTTATGTAAATTTTTTGTCTGTGTTGTTTGCCGCTTTGAGTCCTGTTTCAGGAGAAAAGCGAGATAGAAATAATTGATCATAATAATAATACTTTGTTCTTTCCCCAGCTCTTTCTCCCTTCTTCAGCATTACTTCCTCCCTTCTCCAGGTCTGAGAGGCATACTTTCTCCCTTCCTGAGCTCTATTTTCTGCCTTCTCCACCTCGGAAAAGAAGGTCAACTTTCTTCCTTCTCCAGCACTGAGGCCTACTTTCTCCCTTCGTGAACTCTACTTACTCCTTTATCCAGCATTACTTTCTGCCTTCTCCAGCTGAGACGACCCACTTTCTCACTTCCCCAGTTCTGCTTTCTCCCCGCTCCAGCTTCCCAGACCAACCTGGGGCATAGACCTCATCGTCGGTCTGCTTCTCTCGGAGGGAGCGGTCCCTCTGCTCCAGCCAGCGGGGGTCCAGCAGCCCAATCCGCATGTGCTCCTGCATCTTGCTGGCAGGGATCTTCTCCCCAGTGATGGGGGACACAAGGTACTCATCCGCAGCCGGTGCTGGGGGCAGAGGCTTGGAGGCTGCAAGGCAGGGAGAAAGGAAGGCTGCCAGTTAGCGCCACCACCACCTCCGGGGCCACAGCCTCCCTCCCTCCTTCCAGTCCAGACCCAGGCCTTACCTTTCGGGTCATAATCCTTCCTGACAATGACCTGGTCGGGGGTCGGAGGCAGAGGCGGCGGCATTGGAGCTTCCGGAGGGAGAGGCACCTTCTGGCCCTCATCTTCATCGTCAGAGCCCTTCAAAATCCAAAAGTAATTAATAACAGGCAATTTAAATTTTTATCTGTCTGTGTTGTTTTAAATTGACATGGGTTTTTAGTGTGATGCAGAGCTAATCTTAAGAAATGGGGTTACAAAGTGGAGTCCATGACATGCGAGAGAAGAGCAAACCACAGACCACTTACTACAATGCAGCTTGAGCCCTGCCACATGCACAATGGAGGACCTAGGAGCCCACCAGTGGCGCAATGGGTTAAACCCTTGTGCCGGCAGGACTGCTGACCAAAAGGTTGGCGGTTCAAATCCAGGGAGCAGGGTGTGCTCCCGTTTGTCAGCTTCAGCTTCTCATGCGGGAACATGAGAGAAGCCTACCACAGGATGGTAACACATCCGGGCGTCCCCTGGGCAACGTCCTTGCAGACGGCCAGTTCTCACACGCCAGTTTCTCAAGATGCTCCTAACATGAAAATTAAAATAAAATAATGGAGGGTCTTCTTACAGCGACACCTAAGGCACTCTAAGTGGCCAGCTTCTGATCAAAGGACGTTTAGCATAATGTCAAGTTTTTAACTTTTATTTATTTATTTACAGTATTTTTAAAAACCCTTTGTTTTTAGATACATTACAACTGTACCCTCAATTTGCTTTTAACACGATAAATATTAAATAGTGTGTGTAGCTTCAAATCTCCTTTGGCAGATAAAAAGCAGGGTATAAATACAAATAATTGTAATAATACAAGCACGACGACAGGCAAATGCTCTCAAATGTATTGAATGATTACGTATTTTATTTATTGACTGCCTTTTGTCAATATGTTTAATCTATTGAACGTACTTTAGGATGTGTTTTAACTGTGTTGAGCTCCACTCAGAGCCACGAGGAGCAGAATGGTGACAGAAATCTAGGACCTGCACTTAATAATTACATTTTACTTCCCTTGGTATTTTAGACTGTTTAATTAATTTGGATAATGTTACATCTGATATGGACAGACTGAGGATTATTTTATTTTAACTGAGAATTTTTAAAATCCTGTTTATATTTAAATCCTGTTTTAATGTTTGATAATGGTTAATGCATCTTCCAATAATTAAAGGACCAACATGGGTTGACATTTTTTACCCTGGTGTTGATACTTTAGTCTGGTATTTTAATTTGATTCGTGGCAGGTATGTCCAGACTGATTTGTATACTTCAGTTTTAAACTTTTAATCTTTTGCTATGTTTATTGCTTATTTTATTTTGATTTGACGTGTTTTATGTTACATGCCAATGGTTATGTTTTACTTTTATTTCTTTTGGTGCACATTTGTAGCGTTTTGGTTTTTGTTGTATATTTTATGCTGCTCGTTTGTATTGTTATTGTCTTGTAAGCCACCCTGAGCCCCTCTGGGGAGATAAGGATGGGATACAAATAAAGTTATTATTATTATAATATTATTATTATTATTATTAATGTTTGTATATTTGTATAATTTAGATGGCTATGCTGATGCTTTTATGTTGGGCCGCTTTGAGTCCCCTGAGGGGGAGATAAAGCAGGGTAGAAATAAATATAATAATGTATATACTTGAGTATAAGCCGACCCAAATATTAACCGAGCCACCTAATTTTATCACAAAAACTGGGAAAACATATTGACTCGAGTATAAGCCGAGGGTGGGAAGTGCAGCAGCTACTGGTAAATTTCAAAATAAAAATAGATACCAATAAAATTACATTAATGGAGTCATCGGTTGGCCAAATGTTTTTGAATATTTACATAAAACTGTAAATTAAAATAAGACTGTCCAACTCTGATTAAATCATTATTCTAACCTTATCCAATGTAAATGTCCCTCTATCCTTCCAATAATGATATAGTAAAATAATAAAAATAATAAGCTTAAAATAATAGAAATGTAATAATAGAGTAAAATAATAATAACAATAACAACAACTTTATTCTTATATCCCGCCGCCATCTCCCTGAAGGGACTTGGGGTGGCTTACAGACGGCACAAAGTGCCTTAAAACAAACATAAAAGTGAACACAATATAAAATACAATAAAATAAAACACATGCACATATGAAAACATCAGTTCAGACTCAATCAAGCTGCAAGCCTCTAACCGTGGCAGTAAATTACTGGCATCATGGCCGGCTGTAAACATTGGAATAAAATAAGCTAAACACAATAATAAAAAATATAATAACAATAATAGAGTAAAATAATGTCAAAATAATAACAAAGAATAAAATAATAAATGTAATACAAATAATAACAGAGTAAAATAATAATTTTGACTTGGGTCTAAGCCGAGGGGGGCTTTTGCCTAAAAAAGGGTTGACAAACTCAGCTTATACTTGAGTATATACGATAATAGTAACATCTATCTATTCATCTTTCTGTTTATCTATCTATCCATTCATTAATCCATCCATCCAACCATCCTCTCTCTCTGACCTCGTCCATGTCCTGGACCTGAGTGTCCTGATCAGGGGGAGCGGGTGCCTCCTGGGGGCCCTTCTCTGGCTTCTCGCCCCCTTCCTCCTCATCCGACTCCACCTCCATCTCCACCTCCTCACTCTCCCCAAACTTCTCGTACCGCTCCTGGATCAGGATCCGGGCCCCTAGCTCCTCCGGGGTCGTCGGAGGTGGGAAGTTCCCTGCAGCAAAGAAAGGGAGAGCCACTATGAATCTCTTTTTTTTTGCAGAGACGGACATAAAGTGGAATAAAAATAATAGTAATATATTATAATATATTAATATAATAATATCATATAAATTGATGTCTCAAACCTACACTTCCTGATAGACTTTATAATCTGTTAAACTGATACACCTAGATATCTCTTTGAACTGTTAGGGACAAAGATATGCCAATACACTATATATATATATATATATATATATATATATATATATATATAGAGAGAGAGAGAGAGAGAGAGAGAGAGAGAGAGAGCGCAGAGTTTCAGAAGTGTTCTTTCACTTGCCCAACAAAAATCTACTCTCCCTCAAAACATCATGGTTTAACTCATACTCTCAAGAGACCAAAAATAAAAGTAGACTTCTTTGTTAAAATAACATAGTTATAAGAATAAAATGCAACATGATAATGTAATAAAATAACATGATATAAATACAATAAAAGAATAAAATAAAAGAATAAAATAAGATTTAAACTGTAGTATAACATAATAAAATATAAGAATGAAAGAATAAAATAAGATTAAAATGTAATATAATAATGTAATAAAATATAATAAAATAATAAATATTAAAATATACTATAATAAAATAACATATAACATATACAAACCTAATAAAATATAATACAATAAGAACAGAATTACAAAATGAAAAAAGAATAGAATATAATTAAAATATAATGAAACCAAAGAATAATATAAGAATAAAGATGTAATATAATCATATATAATAAAATAAAACACAAGAATGAGAATAGAATATGATGATATAATGAAAAATATATAATAAAAAATAGAAGATCACAATATAATACACTTTAATATATATAATAAAATAAAAACAGCACCATATAAAATGGAGTAATATGAATGAAATGTAACCATTCATGGAACAACGAACACCCTGGATGTTCCTTTGCAGATGGGGTCCTCTCCCAACCCACCTTGCTCCGAGGGCTGGAAGTCCACGGTCTCCACAACGACAAAGTCGTGCCAGTCAATCTGGGCATAGGCCACTCTCTCGCGCTCCTTCTCCTCCTCCTCCTTCTTCCGCTCTCGCTCCTGGAACTTGGCCCACTCCACTCGGTAGCAGGCCTGGTCCAGCACCTCTTTGGGGTTCTCCGCCTCCTTCTTCAGCTTGATGATCAGGCCCTTGGGCGGGATCAGGATCTGAAGGAAAGAGTATATTCAAAATAAGAGCAAGTCTATTGGGGGGCTTCCTCTCCAAATCTCAACCAGGACTGGCTCTACCTAGCACTAAAAAAGTCACCTTTGGGGTATTTAGGCCCCTATATGGGGACCCCAATTTTTTTGGGTAAGCTTTCTTAAGCAATTTTGCCCATGCCTTCTTCTGTAACATTGTCTTTGTATTCAATGGCAGCCTCCCATCAAAATCCAAACTGAGGCTGGCCCAATTTAGTAACCAAAAACCTATACAAAAATGAAATTGAAAATAAATAAAAATACATATAGTATTGTTTTGATTGTGAGCCACCACAAGTCTCTTCTTTTAGAGAGATATAAAGAAGGATACTACTACTAATATCTAAAATTATATACATATAATATAATAAAAGATAACAATATAATGAAATAATAATAATGTAATATAATGTCACAATTAATGGACCAAAGAACACCCTAGATGTTTATTTTGTTAAGTTCTATTTTAATGTTGTTCTATTATATAATTTAAAACCTAAGTATGATTAATTGGGATTCACAGGGCTCTCTGGACGCTCACCCACACTTGAAGATATTATTCCCTACCTTCCTTTGCTCACCTTGGTGTACTGCTCCACCAGTTTGGTGAAGTAGTTGAAGAGGCTGTGCTGGGGCCGGAGGAAGTCAAACTGGTAGTTCCTCTGCTCCTTCTGCATCAACTGGGTGAGGAACTGCCTGCCGTTGCGGGCCACAAACTGAGCGGTCAGCTTGACCACGTCCAGGTCGAAGGCCGAGATGGAGGGTGGGTCGGCGATGAACTCGAACTCCGGTGGAGGCTCCTTGGGCACCACTGTCTCCTGGATGACTTGGACCTGGAGCTGCAGGAGGAATCAGAGGGAAAGGCTGACATCTCCTCAATCACTTCTGGGTTGGGGGTCAAAAGGAAGGGCAAGGGCTTTTGGAAAATGGCATTCATAACCTTTTGGAAAACACTTTTTGGAGGTCATCACATTTTAGAAAAGCATGACCTTTCAGAGAAGAGCCAAAAACCTTTTTAGAGTAGAATCTTCTCTTGTGGTATACAACCAGATAGAATTATGCAAGGCAATGGTTTCAGTTGTTAGACTAAATAGCCTGTTATCTCAGATCTGTTAGGCAAACAGAGATTTGCCAATGGATAAAAACAGCAGAGCTTTAGAAGTGGTTTTCAGTGCCCAAAAACATCTATAAGCTCACATAAAACAAACTATTGTATTGGGTTGCTGCAAGTTTTCTGGGCTGTTTGGCCATGTTCCAGAAGCATTCTCTATAGACGTTTCGCCTACATCTATGACAGGCATCCTCAGAGGTTGTGAGGTCTGTTGGAAACGAGACAAGTGGGGTTTGTTTACACACACACACACACACACACACACACACACACACACACACACCTGTGGAATGATTTCCAGGGTGGGAGAAAGAAATTTATCTATTGGAGGCAAGTGTGAATGTTGCCATTAGCCGGTTTGATTAGCATTGAATGCTGCAAGTCGCTTCTACATTCAATGCTAATCAAGCTGGCAAAACGTCAGGAGAGAATACTTCTGGAACATGGCCAGACAGCCTGGAAAACTCACAGCAACCCAGTGATCCCGGTTATGAAAGCCTTCAACAACAAATTGTTTTATATCATGAACGCAAGGGACAAAATGAAGCAGACTTATATAAAACTAACATATTTGGTTTATTCACAACCTTCATGTGTTGAGCATGCACAGGCACAAAACTTATCAGTCCTATTTCAGATATGTTTGAGATCATTCTCTGTGCCATCTGGGCAGAACATCTCTTTTATAACAAAACAACTATAACCAGGCCACATAGTCAAAAGGAGAGAGAAAAAGACAGAATGAAGTCTGCAGCCCCTTTTCTAAAGTCTCGGGAACCATAGAGTAAAGGAAGCTGCATACCAAAACATACATACAGGAATCAGTAAGCAACAGGATCATAGGTAAAGAATGGTTGCTTACATGTAACCGTGTTTCTTTGAGTGGTCACTTGTGAAATCCGTACATATGATAGTTGCTGCACAGGAACAATAACTACCATATGTGCGATTTCACAGAGACCATGATGAAGAACCATATTACTAGAAAAGGCTTGAAGAAGGTTATCATTTCCAACAAGGGCAAGGGGCTGACCTTCTGGGGCAGCTGCTGCTGGGCACTCTGCTGGGCCTGCATGACTTTGGGGATGGCGGCCGAGGGCTCCTGGGCCTTCCCTTCCTTGAACTCATTGACTTTGTGGCGGTAGTAGGCATGGTAGGGGTCGTTGGGGTTCAGGAAGTTGAACTTGGGATTGTTGATCTCGTTCTGGCGGATGCGGGCCTCAAACTCTGGGCCATTCCTGGGTGGAGCGAGCCAAAGTCAGACATCTCACCCAAAAGCAGAGCAAGTAACCCCCTTTTCCCCACCCATTATTATGATTATTATTATTCACTTTATTTTTCTCCCAATATATCTATTTTTCTATTAATGTTTTCACTTGGTTTTCAAAAATATACACAACATTTGAGACCACTCCCTTCATACCACTTCTCCTGTAAGCCCAACATTGAAAATAAAAAAAATTACATAAATGACTATAAAAACACGTACTTAAACCCTATATATACTAGAAATGTGTCATTTATTGTATTTAAATAACATTTATTAACTTATTATTTAGGAAATTTCCAGATTGTCTTTCTCCAACGGACTCAAGGTGGTTTGCAATAGCATCAAAACATACAATATAAAATATTTTCTATTTATTTGTATAAAACTTTGGAACTCCCTTCCCACTGAGATTAAAACTGCCCCTTCATACCTACATACTTGTCACTTATAAGTCATATATTTAAATATAGTGTATTTAAATACAATATTTTAATATCATATATGCGTTGCTGTGGCCTATAGTAAAACTTATCAAAGTTGAGGTAGATATCTGGACTATTATGAAAGAGAGGTACCTACCTATTCCTTCCCCCTTTTCCTCCCCCTTTCTCTCCTTTCTTCCTTCTCTACCTCTTTCTTTCTTTCCTTCTTTTCACTACTTGGTTTCATCCTTCTTTCTTTCCTTCATTCCCTCCCCCTTTCTTCCTTTGCCTTTCTTCCCTCCCTGTTTGCTTCCTTCTTTCACTTTTTATTTCCTTTTATTTCACCACCATCATAACAATAACAATAATGCAATGCATTGCCTCTGGGACCTGACACCTCTCCCATTCCCCCAGGGTCTAATAGGAATAATAGCATAATAATAATAATAGAAATAACAACCTTTACCCGCCACGTGTTGCTGTGGCCAATCTTCCCCCTTTCTCTCCTTCTTTCCCTCCTTCCTTCCCTCCCATCTTTCCTTCTCCTCTTCTTTCTCTCTCTCTTTCCTTCCTTCCCCCTTTTTCTTTCTTTGCTGTCTCTCTTCTTCCTTCTCTCTTTCCTTCTTTCCTTCCTTCCCTCTTTCTCTACATCTTCCCCTTCCTTCACTCCCTTTTTCCTTCCTTCTTTCCCCTTTCCCCTTTTTTCTTTCCCTCCCTCTGTCTCTCATTTCTTCCTTCTCTACCTCTTTCCTTCCTTCCCTTTTTCTTTCTCTTCTGCGGCTGGGCGCCAATGCGCATGCTCAGTTGTTTTGCCGTTTTGTGAGTGTGTTGTTGTGTTGTTTTTCATTTTGAGTAGATATGTTTGTACCTTGTGGGTTGTGTTATGGGCATGGGAATTTTGGTTAAGTTTCATTGGGGTTTTTTGTGTTTTGTTGTTTTGCCGTTTTGTGAGTGTGTTGTTGTGTTGTTTTTCATTTTGAGTAGATATGTTTGTACCTTGTGGGTTGTGTTATGGGCATGGGAATTTTGGTTAAGTTTCGTTGGGGGTTTTTTGAGTTTTGTTGTTTTGCCGTTTTGTGAGTGTGTTGTTGTGTTGTTTTTCATTTTGAGTAGATATGTTTGTACCTTGTGGGTTGTGTTATGGGCATGGGAATTTTGGTTAAGTTTCGTTGGGGGTTTTTGGAGTTTTGCTGTCCCGTTGAACCAACCTAACAGATTTATATATATAGATAATTTCATATAGCCAGACATAGCCACAACTGTCCTCTTTATTGATTCCTATGAAACAGAAGACTAACGCTCACCTGGCCACAAAGCTGGCTGTCTTGTCCACAATGTTTCTGACCTCTGGCGGAGGGTAGATGATGCCCACCACCGGCTTGGCGGGCACTGCCTCCTCTTTCGGCTCATCTTCTGGCTGCAATGAGAATTAACATAACAAAATGGTGGGACAGAACTGAATCATCATAATCATCAACAACATAATGACTTCTAGCCATCCATGAAATTCATGGCAGGGGGTGGGTGAGTGGGCACATGCATTTTCCTCAATCCCAGGCCAAGACTCTTTTTAAGGATTTGTCTCTAAGCCTGTGCATCTTCTTCTGTTATTCTAAACACATTTAACTGCGGGTGAAGCAGCCTCCACTTCCAGCAATGTGAAGAATTAATAACAGCAAGATTAATCACAATGATAACAAACAGCCAAGGACATGACCCTCCAGTGGACAAGAACGTGCATTTCCTGAACCAGATAATAATAATGACAATAAGTTATATCAATACCATCCACACTGTGAACATCAACAATGCTATAACAGACAGTCCCCAAGTTACACACAAAACAGTTCCGTAGGTTTGTTCTGAAGCTGAATTTGTTTGTAAGTCAGAACACACACATTTTTAACTCCAGCCAAAAATATATACAATGGAACCTCTACTTAAGAGTGTCCCAACTTAGGAGCATTTTGAATTAAGAATTGTTGCTCGGCCCTGGTTTTGCTTTGACACACAAGCAATGTTTCCAGTTAAGAACAAGGGCTTTAAGAGAGCAGCCTTCATGCCTTGAACTCATGCCCACTTTGAGGAATTTGTGGTTAGTTGGTTTTGTGTGGTTTTTATTCCTGGTTTGTTTGGCTTCAGGAAGAGAGGGAGGGGGGCTGGAATGAGGGAAGTAGGAAGAAGAAAAGGAGGCTTCTGGCTCTTCGCTTGGTGCTTTGTGCTTCCTTGCCACATCATAGAATCATAGAATCAAAGAGTTGGAAGAGACCTCATGGGCCATCCAGTCCAACCCCCTGCCAAGAAGCAGGAATATTGCATTCAAATCACCCCTGACAGATGGCCATCCAGCCTCTGTTTAAAAGCTTCCAAAGAAGGAGCCTCCACCACACTCCGGGGCAGAGAGTTCCACTGCTGAACGGCTCTCACAGTCAGGAAGTTCTTCCTCATATTCAGAAGGAATCTCCTTTCTTGTAGTTTGAAGCCATTGTCCTAGTCTCCAGGGAAGCAGAAAACAAGCTTGCTCCCTCCTCCCTGTGGCTTCCTCTCACATATTTATATATGTTTATATCTTTGTACTTCTGCCATTTAAACGCTGATCTTTCTTTCTGATTGTTCCATGTGAATGTTTTGTCTTGCTGCTACACTGGGTGACACACGTTGTTGCCGCCAGTGTGCTTCAGGAGAAGTTTCGGGGGATTTGACCTGGATATTTTGGAGTTGTAGTTCACCTATATCTAGAGAGCACTGCACCCAGCCGAGTACGGATCTGGACCAGACTCGGCACACAGATCCAACGTGGCCAACTTTGTATACTGGTGGAATCTGGAGTGATTAACCTTGAAATCTGGGAGTTGTAGTTCACCCATATTCAGAGATCTCTTTGAACCCCACCGAACATCCAAAGACAAACAATGCCCCTTTCAAGCTAGTATAATATATAATACAGGTGTGTATATGATCCCACGGGGGCCCTCAAGTCCCTCGCGCAAAGCGCCCTGGGAAAAGCCCCCCTCGCCCCGCAATGCATCATGGGAATGGCGGCTCTGCCTTGAGGAGGGTTAAAGGGGGAAAAGAGTCGTTCTCTTCCCGAGCAAGAAATACCTGTTTGGCCTCGGGCGGCGTGGCTTGGGCCGGAGCCATCACCTGGACGGGCCCCGCCGGCATGACTCTCACTTCGCTCCGGAGTACAACCGCGGACAAGAAAGACGCCAACAGCTGCGATAGGACCGAGAAAAATGGCGACGGGTGCGCGCGCAGTCAGTAACAGCCCCGCCCACAAGAGGAGGGGGCTGTGCGGGGTTAGCCACGCCCCTTTAAACGCCCTCCTCCTGGAAACCCGTAGTCACGCCCCCTTTAAGCGCATGCGCTCCCCTTCCCCTTGCAATCCCAGCTGCACGGGGAAGTCACGCCCCTTTCAACGCCCCCTCCTCCTGGTAACCATAGCCACGCCCCCTTTAGGTACATGCACTCCCCTTTCCGGAAGTTTTTATCAATTGTATGTTACGCTCTCTATAATAAAAGGGGCGGAGCGAGGGAAGCGTTCTTCGTTGCCATGGCAGCAGCCGAGGCCTAGAACGCGAGAAGAAGCCTGCTAGCAGTAAGAGGCGGGCATTCCGTAGGTAACTACACACAGTTAACGGCGTGCCGTTTTCTAAATGAGCCATTCAGCCAATGAAGGATGAAACATGAATGCGAAGCATTTCTTGAATATATTATTTCTATACATAGTCCTAGAGTTGTGTTTTCCCAATCTTGGGCTCCAGGCTTTTTGGACTTCTTCCCTCAGAAGGCCTCTTCATTGGACAAAGCAGCTGGGTCTGAGTCCAGAATACCCACTGTTATTATTCTATTGGATAAAACAGGAATGTTAACATTATGATGATGATGATGAATTATATCTCTATTATATATTTTATAATGTAATGTGTTATTATATATTTTATTGATTTATATCCCTCTGTATCTCTCCATATGGAGATTCAAAAACATAAAACTTAAAATATACAAAAATACAATAAATCAGTGTATCTTATAATTATATATTATCAGTAGCAATTATAGTTAATATATTAGTATTACTATATTACAATATTCCTATTATATATTATAATATTGTATTATTGTGTTGTTTGATGGCGTTTGTGGCTGGAATCACTGGGTTGCTGTAAGTTTTCCGAGCTGTCTGGCCATGTGCCAGAAGCATTCTCTCCTGACATTTTGCCCACATCTATGGCAGGCATGCTCAGAGGATGTCAGGGTTTATATATATACCTGTGGAATTATGTCCGGGGTGAGAGAAATAACTCTTGTCTGTCAGCACGTGTGAATGTCGCCATTGGCCAGCTTGATTAGCATTGAATGGCTTTGCAGCTTCAAAGCCTGGCTGCTTCCTGCCTGAGGGAATCCTTTGTTGGGAGGTGTTAGCTGGCCCTGATGAAGAAACACAATCTACAAACAATCTATAGACCCACTAAGAAAATCCAACAATTGCTAGGTTCAGCAAAGGACAAGAGGGATCCTCTCACCTCTGCCGGAGTCTACCGTATACCATGCAGCTGTGGACAAGTCTACATAGGGGTCACCAAATACAGCATTGCCCATACACGAATCAAGGAAGATGAAAGGCACTGCAAACTAATCCAACTAGAGAAGTCAACCATAGCAGAGCACCTGATGAACCAATCTGGACACAGCATATTTGAGAACACAGCAGTGCTGGGCCACTCAGACAACCACCATGACAGATTACATAGAGAAGCCATTGAAATCCGCAAGCATGTGGACAATTTCAAAAGAAAGGAGGAAACTATGAAAATGAACAAAATCTGGCTACCAGTATTCAAAAACTCTAAAATTATAACAACAAATAAAGAACAACAGTCAGAAAATTAGGGAATTCCAAACAGGAATCAATCAGGGCCAGCTAACACCTCCCAAAAAAGGATTCCCCCAAGCAGGAAGCAGCCAGGCTTTGAAGCTGCAAGGCTATTCAATGCTAATCAAGCTGGCCAATGGCAACATTCACACTTACCTCAAACAGACAAAAGTTCTTTCTCCCACCCTGGACATTATTCCACAGGTATATCTATAAACCCCACTTGCCTAGTTTCCAACAGACCTCACAACCTCTGATTATACCTGCCATTGATGTGGGTGTAAAACGTCAGGAGATAATGCTTCTGGAACATGGCCAGACAGCCCAGAAAGCTCACAGCAACCCAGTGATTCCGACCATTAAAGCCTTCGACAACACGATGACTAGCTGCTTTGGGACTCAATTGAGAGAGAAGATTGGTGTATAAATAATTTGAGGACCTTCTTGCGGCAACACCAGAGGCACTCCAGGTGGCCAGATACTGGTCAAAGGACATTTAATCGGCTGCCAAGTTTGCAAAATTTGTGGGTTTTTTAAATCTGTTTGTTTGTTTTGTTCTGTTAGAAATGTAATACAATGTTCTGGTTGCGGATGACACGATAAAATATAATTATTATTATTATTATTATTATTATTATTATTATTATTATTATTGTGTTTGCTTTGAGTCAATCCAAAGATTAGAAGAGAGAAATTAAGGTATTAGTTAATAACAACAACAACAATAATAATGGTGGTCACTTTAGTGCCTTGATCAAAAGAGAAATGTAGGATAATAATAATAATAATCATTCATTTTGAAGCTCTTCTTCTGCTCCAGGAACATCTATGCCTCATTGTTTGTGATGGTGGCCTTCCTGGTCAATTGAAAGAACATGGAAAGCCTGCAGAGGGACATCGTTGAGCTTCAGGGAACGGTCATTGATGTCTTCTCCCGATCCAGACCCATCCGGTGTCCTTCGTGGAAGTTTCCGGATAAGGCCTCCTGCGACTTGGACCTGGTTTCCTTGCTGGAGCGTTACGGCTTTGCGGAGAACAATTCCGAACTCACCCAGCGCTCCCATGTCCTCCTTTTGGAGCTCATCATTGACAGGTGAGGAAAAGTCCGAAGGATAGAACTCACCTGGAAGCCAAGGAGAATAACTAGGATTTCCTTTCTGTTCCCTTGAGGCTGCTGCTGCTCTTCCAAAGCTTCACGGAATATGCGGAGAACCTGATCAGCGAAGGAGCTTCTTCCTCCCCATCCGGAGCAATGGGGCCTTCCATGTCTGTTGGACTGGCGGTGAGGACATACTGGGACAGCATGGTGAAACTGGGGAATCTCTACCAGCAGCTGGTGATGGAGGTAGGGACATGCTTTGCATACAGACCTCAGAAGCCAATTATACCTCTTCTCCCTCTTCGTCTTTTCCTTCTCTTCCTCCCTTTCCTTTTCTCTCTCCCTTTCCTCCTCCTGCTTTTCCCCCTCCATCTCCTCTTCCCTCTCCTTCTTCACTTCCTTTTCTGTCTACTCCTCTTCTCTACCTTGTCCTCCTTCTACTCCTTTTGCTTCTTCTTTTTCTTCTATCTCCTCTTCCCTCTCTTCCTTCTCTCCCTTTTCCATCTACTCCTCCTCCTTCTCCACCTTGTCCTCCTTCTCCTTCTTTTTCCTCCTCCTCTTCCCTCTCCTCCTTCTCTTCCTTTTTTGTCTCCTTCTCCTTTTCTTTCTACTCCTCCTCCTCCACCACCTTGTCCTCCTTCTACTTACTTTCGTTCTTTTCCCTTCTCCTTTCCCTTCGTTTGCTTCTCCTTTTCTTCTTGTCCTCCTCCTCTCTTCAATCTCCTCCTCCTCCTTCTTTTATTTCTCTCCCCCCTCCTCTCCTTCTCTTCCTCCTACTTATTTATATCTTGCTTTTATCTCTTAACCAAGAAAAAAGGCAACAAAGAGGATGTTTCTAGCAGAGAACAAGCAGAGATCAAACGGACCAGAAGCTCTTGCTCCCAACAATCGGAGTCAGATGTGACCATACTGGGCATGCAGGATTCTTCATTGACCTCGTCAATTGCCAGTGGGCAAATGTGTGGACACTTCCCCAACTGTATCCCTTCTCCAACTACTGAGCCACCCGTAGTGCCTTGTGAAGCCTGCGAGAAGGCCCAGACCAGCCTCCAGGAAGTGGGCCGTGCCATTGTCGGCCTCTGCGAAGGCCAAAACCTCCCATCATCTCTGGGCAAGTTCCTCAAGACCGCAGAGGAGACCCTCGGGGGCAGAGCCCTGTCAGTTGTGGACATTGACTATTGGGCCGCCGAGCAGAGCAAGGACATTTCCCGGATTGGCAAGCACCTCCGGACGCTGACAGAGTTGGTGGGCCCTTTGAAGGGAGAGCTGGAAGCCGCCCAGAAGCAGGTGGAGGACTTGGAAGTCCGCCTTCAGGAGGAGAAGGAAGCCCAAGAGCAACAGAGGAAGGAGGCTGAGCAGTCATTCGAGAAGAAGCACAAGGAGAGCTTACGACGAGTGGGACGGTTGGAGAAGGAGAAGGAAGATCTCCAGAACAGTGAGTAGACACCAAGGATTGTGTGATCGCCATCCTTGGGTCCTATCTCCAAGAGAATAATAATAATAAACTTTATTTCTATACCGCCCTATCTCCCTGAGGGGACTCAGGGCTGTTTACAACAGAAAATTGGCAAAATACTGACATAACAGATCAAATCATAAGCAATAAAATAAACAACATCAGGTGTACTTATAGAACAACTCAAAATAACAAACTTAGAAAGATATATCCCATGTCTCCTGCTCTCCATCTTAGGTCTCATCTCCAAGATATATCCCATATGTATATTGTTTTTAAACGCTTATTTGTTTTACTGATTGCTTATTTTGTTTTATATCTGTGTCTTTGATCATTGTTGATTTTGTGTTGTATTTTTAACATGTTGGAAGCCGTTTTGGGTCCCTATGTGGGAGAAAACAGGATATTAATCAAGATTTATTATTATTATTATTATTATTATTATTATGTTGTTGTTGTTGTTATTATTATTATTATTATTATTATTATTATTATTATTATTATATCTCCTGCTGTTCATCTTGGGTCCTATCTCCAAGCTATATCCCTAATCTCTTGCCCTCCATCCTTAGGTCCCATCTCCAAGATTTATCCCATATCTCCTGCTCTCGGGTCCCATCTCCAATATATTCCAGGGCTTCCAACTTCTCACAATTGAGTCTTTCATCTCGTGGTGTATATTTCTTGGCTTCTTTCAGAGACCATTACCTTGGAGAAGAACATCTCCACTTTGAAGAAGAAACTCCGATTTCAGGAAGCCACCGTCCAGGAGCTGGGTAAGATGGGTGCGAGGCCCCATATTGATGATGATATAGCCAGCAAATTGTCTGGTGGGCCAGTCTTTTGATCTTCTGAACTGTTGTTCCTTCCATAGAGCAGGTCCAAATGGATCTTCTCCAGAACATGGTGGATAAGGCAGAAGTCCATATCCTGGAGGAGCGTCTGGAAGCCCTGTCTGGCCAACTGCAGGCTGCCAAGGAGCAGCTGGGCCGAGCCACGACTGAGCTGGACAAGGAGAAGGCCAAAGCGGAGAGCATGCTCCGGCACAAAGAGGTAGGGCCCTCCTTCACAGAATGTTGTTTTCCTTGGTCACGACAACTCCATTGATGCCCTGCCTTTGGATTCCAGCCTCCAAATTAGACAGAAAAGGAGACTGGGATAGGCCATATGTAACCTACCAAAGATGTGTTTGTGGCCCTCAATTATGTGGGATGTGTGTTTTTAAAGGCAAAAAACCAAAAAAAGTGAATTGCTTTTATTGGAATTTTCAAGGAGTCGTCATTCATCTTTTAATAGCTTTCCCTTTCTTAATGACTTTCTCAGACTCTGAGATGGATCTATGGATAGAGGAAGGGATGGGTATGTGGATGGGTGAATGTGAGAGAGGAAGGGATGGGAAGATGGATGGATAGATAGATATATAGATAGGCGGATGGATGGACAGACAAACAGAACGAACAAGGGATGGGTGGGTGGCTGGATGGATGTGTAAACAGGTAGGTAAATAGATGGATGAGGGACAGATAGATGGATATATAGATAGGTGAATGGATGGATGGGCAGAAAGAATGAACAAGGGAAGGCTGGATGGATGTGTAAACAGGTAGGTAGGTAGATGGATGAAGGGATGGATAGATGGATATATAGATAGGTGGGTGGCTGGATGGACAGAATGAACAAGGGGTGGCTGGGTGGCTGGATGGATGTGTAAACAGGTAGGTAGGTAGATGGATGAAGGGATGGATAGATGGATATATAGACAGAAAGACAAATAGATGGATGGGTAGATAGATGTATGGATGAAGGAAGAGATGGATGGATGGGTGGACAGATGGAAGGATAGATATTATATGGTTACTTTTTTACATTATTTCACATCGTTGCCTCTTAGATATTGTTTTATCTGTGTGAATGTGAATTAAATAAATGGAAAAGGATGGATAGATAGATGGGTGAATGTGTGTGGAGGGAGGGATAGATGGATGAAGGGGTGGAAGGATGGATAGAGGGATGGAGGCATGGGACGTTCAACCTATATGAGAACCAGGCTTTGGGATTCCAACTCCAGGCCCTGGAATGACTGCAATATGATCCAGATGTCAGCCTCTGGCTCTGGCTGAGGCACTCAAGGAGACAACAGGTGTAGACTTTGGCCTTCTTCCTATTTCCTGCAAAGAACATCTCTCTCTCCCTTTCCTCCGCAGTCCCTCCAGGCCAAGCAGAGAGCTCTGATGCAGCAGCTAGACCGTCTGGACCAGGAGTGCGAGGGGCTGAAGGCCAGCCTGGCCAAAGAGGAAGAGGAGCGCTTCCTGATGAAGGAGAGGCTGAAGGAGACGCGAGAGAAGAGGAGGGAGGCACAGCACCAACTGGAGGCCCAGCAGGTCTGTGGGAGGCCTTTGGGTGAGAAGCATGAGAGGTTAGGATTAGAAGCCTCAAAGGCAGAGTTAGAAGCCTACTTTAACCCTAATTAGAGTTTTTACAGTTAGAGTTAGAGGTTTAAGGGTTAGTCAGAAGCCTTAAAGTCAAGAATGGGATTAGAGGCTGTAAGGTTAGCATTAGAAGCCTACTTTAATTAAAGTCTTTAGGGTTAGAGTAGGGGTTAGGAACAGAGGCCTAAGAGGTAGAAGCCTTAGGGTTGGTGTTAGGACTGGAAGATTTCAGGTTAAGGTAAGGATTAGAAACCTCAAGGATAGAGTCAAGGTTAGGATTAGAGGCCTTAGAATTAGAAGCCTTAAAATCAGGATTAGAGCCTTTTGGGTTAGAGTAAGGGTTAGAAAGCTTAAGGGTATGGTTAGAATTAGAGTCTTTGTGGTTAAAGGGTTAGAAATACAGGTCTTAGGGCTACAGTTAGGGTTAGAAGGCTGAAAGGTTAGGGTTAGAAGGTATAGGGTGAAAGTAAGGGTTAAGATTAGAGCCTTAGAGTCAGAATTAGAAGCCTTAAAATCAGTATTAGATGCCTTAAAAGTTGGAGTAAAGATTAGAAGCCTTAAGGTTAGGGTTAGAACTAGAGTCTTTAGGGTTAGAGCCCCATAGAATTAGGGTCATAAGAGTTAAGAGAAGGGATAGTATTAGGGTTCAGGATTAGAGTTAGCGTCGTGAGGATTAGAGTTAGGGTTAGAGGTTTTAGGGTTAAAGGTTAGAATTAGAGTCAGGGTTAGAGTTAGATGCCTTAAATTTCAGATTACAGGCTTTAGGGTTTCGGTTGACGGCCTTAGGAAACATCTCCCTCATGATTCTGACCTGTGGAGACTTCATGTCTCCCCTGTCTTTGTGCAGAAGCTGACAGAGAAAGCAGAGCGTGAGAAGGCAAGCGCAGAGCACTCCGCCTCAGAGCTGCAAAGGAGTGTCTCCCAACTGGGAGAATTGGTGCAGGAGATGAAGGAGAAGGAGAGGCTGCTGGTGCTCTTCCCAGAGCTTCACATTCCCGTTGAAGCACAATTTGAAGGTAAGGCCCCGGCAGGCCCCCAATCCCCCTTCCTCCTCTCTTGAGGCCTGGGTTTCATGCCTGGCTTCTCCTCTACAGGCACCGGGGACGTCCTGGAGGACATGGCAAAGCAGCTGCAGGCCAACAACATCCGGATCAGCGTCTTGGAGGAGGAAAACACAAGGCTCCGCGCCGCTGTGGCCAAGGTGAAGGAGGTGGCCCAGCAGGAAGGGCCAAAGGTACATAGAGACAGTGGTATTGCTGTCTGATGAGGAAGGGAGAAAGTAGGTCTTCTTCTCGGAGCTGGAGAAGGGAGAAAGTAGGCCTTCGTCTTAAAGCTGGAGATGGGAAAAAGTACGCCTTGTTCTCAGAACTGGAGAAAGGAGAAAATAGATCTTCTCAGAGCTGGAGAAGGGAGAAAGTAGGCCTCCTTATCGGAGCTGGAGAAAGGAGAAAGTAGGCCTTCTCAGCTGGAGAAAGGGAAAGTTGGCCTTTTCAGAGCTGGAAATGGGAGATTCAGAAGGCCTGCTTCTTAGAGCTGGGGAAGGGAGAAAGGAGGCAGACAGTGGTCCCAATGACAACCGGGTAACACTGGGTATATACCTTAGTAAGGATATAACTGATATTCTGTCTCTTCTTAGATTTTACCACCGACCCAGCTGTGGAATCAGTCTTCGGCAGATACACTTTATGAAGATGGCGGTGTTCACGCTCCTATAGGGTCAGTGGATTGTTTTGTAGGACAGATTTGGGGATGTGAGAATGGAAGGGAGCTCAGGTCTAGAATGCCTGAAGGATCCTCTCTCTCTCTGTAAGCCTCAACAGTGGGATGGACAGCGACAATGTTTTGGTAGCACACTACGTTTGAGTTCACTTTATTACAGTCAATGACCAGCTCAAGAGAAGAGGGACACAGTTCCGCACAAACTCATCAGGTCTAAGGGTCAAGAGATTAAAAACTTTAAAATAAGTGCATTATTGCCTAGTCTTTTAATTATAGCATGGCAGAGTGTGGTGGAGGCTCCTTCTTTGGAAGCTTTTAAACAGAGACTGGATGGCCATCTGTCAGGGGTGCTTTGAATGCAATATTCCTGCTTTTTGGCAGGGGGTTGGACTGGATGGCCCATGAGGTCTCTTCCAACTCTATGATTCTGTGTTGCTCCCTCCTCTGTTTGACTTCCCTTCCCTGTGCCATATGAGCACCCCAATTCCCTCCCTTCAGACTCCTTTCTTTTTAATTCCATTCCTTGTGTTGGGTTTTGATATAATCCTGTCTATGGCTGCATCTCAGATAAATAACTGTGTTATATCTCCTTTAGGGTTTGCCCTACATCCCAATAACTCCCTCCACCGTTCAAATGGTTTGTCTACTCATCTTGGCTTTAGGCAAATTTCTTCCCTCCTGCCTTTCTCTCCAAGTGACCTTTATTTTGCATTTTTATGGCTATTCACGTGTACAGCTTGCTCTGTCTCTACCATATAGGCTGTTGCTAGGTGAAGTGGCCCTCTCTGTCACTGGATTGACTGTTGCTAGGTGAAGGGTGATAGATGGGATCCAACATATAATTTTCTTTCTTGTTTGCTCCATTCGCAGGGGTCCCACAGCAGTTGCTATCCAGGGAGTGGCGATACGGCACCCTTCCCGTCATGACACAGTTTGGAGCAGATGCAGTGCAAGCGGCAATGCCACCTCCTCCTCCCAAAGGACTCTGGGTAACTCTCCATCGAAGCCGTCCTCAGGAGAGTCGTTTGCCTTTGCATACAAGGATTTGCCTCATGTCAAGGGGAGAGGAAGGGGCACCCGGGGTCACCAGAAATAAGGCCAGAGGTCACCCAAAGAAACATTTGGATCAAGTGGTTTGTCCGCCGCTACAAGAGAGGCCCTCCCCATTTGCTAAAGAGGAGGACATTGGCCTCAGGACCTAGGGAACCTGAGAATCTCTAGGAATTGATAGACCCTCCAGCATGACTGTACTGGAAGCTGACCATAGAGTGGCACAGGAGGGCCTAAAGAATACTAGAGGGATGTTCTCAAGGATCTGTAGGTCCTCCAGCACAAAGGTACTAGACTTCTCCAGAAGTTGACCATAAAGCCACAATGCAGGATCTAGAGAATCCTACAGGAGTGTTCTCCAAGAATCTATAGATCCTCCAGCATGACTCTACTGGAAACTGACCATAGGGCTGGAGGACTTAGAAAACCCTAAACGAGTGTTCTCTGGGAATTGTAGGTCCTCCAGTATGACTCTATTGGACCTCTGCTGGAAGTTGACCATAGAGGTTGGACCACAGATCCTCCAGTATGACTCCACAGGAAGTTGACTGTAGAGTTGCCATGGAGGAACAAGAGTATGCTAGAGGAGTGTCCTCCAGCATAACTCTACTGGACTTCCACCAGAAGTTGTCCATAGAGTTGCTTGAAGGACCTAGAGATTCCTAAAAAGAACATATTCTGGAGTAAGGCAGAACTGGTCTTCCTAAGTCGTCTTTCAACTTCCTGTTTTCTTCTTACTTGTTCCAACTCTTGTAACCACTGAGCAAGATGGCAGAAGGAAGGACGAAACCAGACTATGTATCCTTTTGTGCCAGATTTGTTTTATTAGTATAGCTGGAGGTGGGGTTTGTGGCCCCCTCCTCTCTAATAATAATAGTAATAATAGTAATAGTAATAATAATAATAATAAATTAGTATAAATAAGCCACCGAACCCACCCACAACTCCAAGATGCCGAAGCCATGGCAACTCAGGTCCTTTTCCCGTCGTAGGGAGACATAGTCCAAGGGGGATAACAGCACCAAGGGGTTTGTCCAAGGCGGAGATATGAGCGAGCGAACCCAAGAAGAGACAAAACACATTGGAGACACATCCACACATTGCCTGTCCTTCTGTGGCAAGGCAGCGGCTTCAACCATGTTGGCCAAAGCCTCATGGGAAGCCCTTAAGGACAGGCAGCCATCTTGCTAGCTCTCCTGGAAGCGATTTCCTGGAAGGGGAAGGAGATGGCAGTCATTTTGTGAGGAGATTGAGGGGGCAGGAAAGGAACAAAAGGCTCCTCTACTTACCTAAAATGTTGTGTTTGCAAAGAGGGCAGGTCTGGTGCAAAAGGAGCCACGGATCTACGCAGTCGCGGTGAAATTCATGCAAACACGGCAGCACCCGGAGACACTAACAAAATGAGTATCAATTGAGAGAAATATAAGGTACTGCCATATCTGAATGGGCCACTGGAAGGAATTAGAGAGAGTGTTCCTGAATAAAGTACAATATCTGAGCTGCCCGCTTGGAGGAACTAGAGAACTTCCCAATTACAAACAAATATACAAACAAACAAATACACAGATATATGGCTTGAAAACAATCCAAGTGAAAGAGATCTAGGAGTCTTAGGCTGGATCTATACTATATCCCAGGATCTGATCTGCTTTGAACTATATGAGTCTATACTGCCAGAAAATCCGGGATAAGATAATTAGGGATCAGATCCTGGGATATAGGGCAGTGTAGATCCAGCCTTAGTGGACAACAACCAGTGGCATGAGCCAACTGTGCGATGTGGTGACAAAAAAGGCCAATGCGATTCTACGATTTCCCTCCTGTGTTACCTGATTCTTATGAAACTGGTCCAAGCAGACGGCACAGCAGTCAATCTCGTGAGCCCAGCTACGAGGCAGCTTCCCTGGCGGATGGTAGCGGCGCGTTTTTAGCGCCAACAGCCTTCGTGCCACGTGCTGTTTGAGATCCGGCTGTGGGGGGGAGGGGAAGGACTGCATTAACTGTCTTAAGGTGCAGTATCTGAACTGGACACCGAGGGGAGCTAGAGAGTCTTCCTGTATAATACAATGTCTGAACTGGCCACTTGGGGGAACTAGAGCATTCCTGAATTTTCAAATTAACAATATGGTAAATAACTTGAGCGCAGGCCCACCTCTGGGTCTTGCTCCCTCTGGTCGTGCCGGGACTGCCGCTGAGCCTGCAGGACCAGCCCTGTGCACAGGATCAAGGCGATGAGCAAGATGGCGTTCCACAGCTGCTGGAGGTACTTCTGCAACAAGAGTTAGAAAAAAGGGTGCCATGGTCCTACAACACCCGTAGAAGTAGATAGTGTTATGATGAATAAGAATAATTTAATTTTTGCTGAGTGTCAGGGGTTGCAACATCTGAACTGGCAGCTTGAGGAAAACAGAGAATGTTCTCAATAACTTGCAATATCTGAACTAGTCACTTGGAGGAGCTAGAGAGAATGTTCCCAATAATAATACAGGTAATACTGATGCCGCCACAGTAACAAGCAGAATTAAGCAAGTAATTCCTTTAGAAAAATAACTTTTCAGACTCCACAAACCTGGACTCTGGAGCTGTTCTCTCCTGTGCAGATGACTCCCTGCCACTCACCATAGAGGCCCCCCCGGGAGAGCCCACATGTGGACCAGAGAGTCAGTGTCACCCCCTAAACATATGTAAGAAAAAAAATAGGAAGAATTACTTTTTGGACCCAGCGCCCCACCACATCCCTCTCCCCACAATGATCACATACCACATTATCCAACAATACTGCCTGGTAAGTAATCTTCGCTGTGGCCCGAAGTCCTCTGAAGGTAGAAAAAGAGGAAGAGAGTTTGGCTTCCATCAATCCTTTCTCCAGGAGGGAGACAAGTACACAGAATTCCTCAGTTTTCCAACAGAAGTTACCACAGAGTTGCCCTGGAGAACCTAGAGAATGAGGTAGCAAGACTCTTCCAACTTCCACCTGAGGTTGAACACAGACATGTCCTCTTTAGGAATCTCTAGGTCTTCCAGCATGATTCTTTTGGACTTCCACCAAAAGTCTCAACTATAGAATCACTCTGGAGGACCTAGAGAATCCTAGAGATGTGTTCTCTGTAGGTCCTCCAGCACGATTCTATCAAGGTTGACTATAAAGTTGTCCTGGATGACCAGTCGATCCTAGGAGGGTTATCTCAAGGAATCTTTTAGTCCTCCAACATGGCTCTACTAGACTTCCACGAAAGCTTGATCATACAGTCACACTAGAGGACCTAAAAATCTCAGAGAAGTGTTCTCTAAGAATCTTTAGATCCTCCTGCATGAGTCTATGGAAGTTAACTATACAATTTTCCTGGAAGACCTCAAGATTCTCTAGGAATCTCTTGGTCTTCTAGCATGATTTGATAGAAGTTGACCACAGAGTTGTCCTGGAGGACCTAGAGATACTCAGAGAAGCCCTCTCTAGGAATCTCTTCATCCTCCATCAGCCTTCCACCAGAAGTTGAACACAGAGTCACCTGGAGGACTCAGATAATCGTAGGGGGGTTCTTTCTAGGAATCTCTAGTTCCTCCGTCATGACTATGGATGTTGACCACAGTGTTGTCCTGGAGGACCCAGAGATTCCCAGAAAAGTCTTCTCTCTAAGAATCTCTTCCATTGTGACTCTACTGGACTTCCGCCAGAGGCTTTTCTATAGGAATGTCAAGATTCTCCAGCACAACTTTATTGGACCTCTGTTGGAAGCTGACCATGGAGTCAACCAGGAAGACCAAGACAATCCTAAGAGGGTTCTCTGTAGGGGCTTCTAAGTCCTTCAGGAAGAATCTATAGATACTGATCATAAAGTTGTCCTGGAGGACCTAGGGGAATGTTCTCTAGGTCATCCAGCATGACTCTATGGAAGCTGACCACAGGGTTTTCCTGGAGGACCTAGAGAGAGCAGCCCATCTGGACATACCGCAGTAGGGCTCCAAAGAGCTTGGTCACGTTCTCCGAAGTCTGGACCAGGACCACGGGTTTGGACAGGACTTGAGACACATCCAACTGACGGGTACAAAAGAGAGGGCTGGTCAATGCCATCCAGGAGACCCCCAAATGTGTCCTGTGTCCCATAGGGCCAAGTCCAGGGCCAGGCCTACCTCCCGGAGGGCGTTCTGGTTCAGGGCCAGGATAAGGAGGGCCGAGGCGCCCAGGACCAGGGCACGCTTCATCTGTGGGAAGGAAGCCGGAGGGGAAAGATGTCAGAAGGGCAGCCCTCTCCCAAAGACATGGCCTCTGAAGGAAGGAAGGGAGGAGGGAAGGGCTGGGTCCTCACCTTGCTGACCACAGCTGAGGTGAAGGACTCCTCCTTGGCAACACATCGAGGGGCCTCTGCCTGATCCTCACCAACAGGGACCACCCCGATCCAGCTGTCTTCCTCCTCCACTTTGGGGTCGGCATCCCCCACCTGGGGAAAAGATGGCCGCTGCCATCAGATCAAGTGACCAGGAGCCCTTTCTGACCAACCTTTCTCCATCAAAAGGTCTCAAAAAGCCACTCCAGGCCATTCTTTGTATGCTGCAGCTTTATCATAGGGTCATAATGGTTTCAGAGCTGCTTTAGGAGTCAATATGTGTGGGGAAATGGGGTCTACATACCCCAAAATAGGGGGTGACCCTGAAGTACACATGGGGGTAACAACAATAACAACAACAACAACAACAGGAAGTGGATATGTAGCAAGGAATTGACACTGATGATGAAGAAGAAAATAATATCATCATGGGGGTGAAGCTGAAGCAGACCCTTATGATGATACTATTAATTATGATAACAATAGGAAGTAGATATGGAGCAAGGGGTTAGCTCTGAACAAGACATAATAATAATAATAATAATAATAATAATAATAATAATAATAATAATGTCATCATCGAGGGGAGGAAAGCAGACCCCATACCTGAAAAAGAGATTATACGTAATAGTAAATAATAGTAATATAATAATTAAAAAATGGAGCTGGGGTTAATTCTGTGTTTTTCCTGCATGGCAGGGGGTTGGACTAGATGGTCCATGTGGTCTCTTCCAACTCCATGATTCTATGGAGCCATAATATTTATATTAATAATAATAACAATAACAATAATACTAGATGGAGGAAGGGGTTGACTTAGAAGTAGCCATGGGGCATGATTAGTAATATTAATAACAACAGGAGGTCAACATGGAGGAAGATGTTGGCTCTAAAGGAGCTCATAATACTGTAATAATATCATGTATGGGAAGCAAAAGCAGACCACACACCCGAAGGAGCGATAATAACTACTACTACTAGTAATAATAATAATAATAATAATAATAATAGATGGAGGAGGGGGTTGACCTAGAAGTAGAAGTAGCCATGGGGGATGAGTAAAATATACGTTCACAATTCTTATGACTATACATTTCCCCCCTCTCTTATTTTCAAGTTGCTGGTTTTAACCTATAAAGCCCTCCATGGCTTTGGTCCAGGTTACTTGAGACACCATGTCCCCCTGACACCGACCAGGTAAACCTTGAAGGTCTAGTAAGGAGACCCTCATTTCCACACAGCCCAGGGCCAACATGCATTTAAAAACCACTAGAGAAGGCACATTCCTGGAGGCAGCTCCAAAGCCATGGAACTCGCTGCTGGAGGATAATAGATTGGCTCCCACCCTCATATTATTTAGGAAAGGTGTGAAGACTTTTCTTGTTGAAGCAGCTTTTCATAGAATCATAGAGTTGGAAGAGACCTCATGGGCCATCCAGTCCAACCCCCTGCCAAAAAGCAGGAAAACTGCATTCAAAGCAATTAAATTAATGGCACTTTACAGTCATTTGGGGAATTTTAGATGGATTTTAACTTTTCACGTTTATAATATGGAAGTTGCTAAGGAGCATTCTTAGAACCTTCTTATCTGCTTTTAGTCAATGCTTTTATTTACTGGAATTGATTTTTACGCCGCTTTCCTGCCGCACCATGGCAGGACTCAAAAGTGGCTAACAATACAATAAGAAAATACAAAGTAAACATTAAAGCAGATTCAAACCCGATCAATTCCGTATTGCAACCTAATTATCTAAAACTGTCAGCAATAAAACCCTATTTACAAATATACATATTTAAAACCATTAATTAACCCCATTGGGAGCCAATATTCCATCCTCTTGGATCTAGAGCAGTGGTTCTCAACCTGTGGGTCCCCAGATGTTTTAGCCTTCAGCTCCCAGAAACCCTAACAACTGGTAAACTGGCTAGAATTTTTGGGAGTTGTAGGCCAAAACACCTGGGGACCCAAGGGTTTTAACTACTGATCTACAGAGACCCGTGCTCCAGCTACAATTTTAATTTCCCCCAAAGGCCTGTTCAAGCATGACAGTTTTCACTACTTTCCTAAATGATAAAAGAGTGGGGGCGGCCCTAATTTCTCTAGTGCGGCCTTCCCAGAAAAGGTCCCTTCTCAAGTAGTTTTAAGCTGCATTTGGGATGGGTGTAGAGGTGTCAGCCGTTCCTCCCCACTCGATCGAAGTTGCCTTCCAGGTACATAGTAGGAGATACGCTGTTTCAGGTATCCTGGCTCTAGGCTGTAAAGGGCTTCACAGGTTAAAACCAGTACTTTAAATTGTGCCCGGAAACATAGTGGAGCTGTCCCAGAGCGGCTGTATGTTCCCTTAGCCCAGCTCCAGTTGGCTGCTGTCCTTTGGACAAATTGAAGTATCTCTGTGTATAGATAGATATGGACTGCTGCCTGCCTACTTTCCCCCTTCTCCAGATCTTAGGAGGCCTCCTTTCTCCCTTCTTCAGCTATAAGAAGACATTACTTTTTCCCTTCTCCAACTTGAAGAAAAGCCTACTTTCTCCTTTCTATAGCACTGAGGTATACTTTCTCTCTCCCTTCTCCAGCTCTGAGAAGATCTATTTTTGCTCTTCCCTAACTCTGAGATCTATGACTTTCTCCCTTCTCCAGCTCCAAGAAGATCTATGATAAAAAGAGTTATTACTTTTTCCTTTCTCCAGCTCTGAGAAAGGCTTACTCTCTTCCTCCTCCAGCTCTAAGAAGACCTACTATTTTTGCTCTTCCCTAACTTTGTGAGGAGCCCCCGGTGGCGCAGTGGGTTAAAGCACTGAGCTGCTGAGCTTGTTGAATGAAAGGTCGCACATTTAATTCTGGGGAGCGGCGTGAGCTTCCGCTGACAGCCCCAGCTTCTGCCAACCTAGCCGCTTGAAAACATGCAAATGTGAGTAGATCAATAGGTACCGCTCAGGCTGGAAGGCAATGGCGCTCCATGCAGTCATGCTGGCCACATGAGCTTGGAGGTGTCTATGGACAACGCCGGCTCTTCAGCTTAGAAATGGAAATGAGCACCACACCCCAGAGTCGGACACGACTCGACTTCATGTCAGGGGAAAACCTTTACCTTTTTATAGTCAAATGGCTCTCCACATTTGCAGTTTGGCTTTTGCAGATTTTTCCATAAATTGATTATAGAATCATAGAATCATCAGTTGGAAGAGTCCTCATGGGCCATCAGTCCAACCCCTGCCAAGAAGCAGAATATTGCATTCAAAGCACCCTGACAGATGGCCATCCAGCCTCTGTTTAAAAGCTTCCAAAGAAGGAGCCTCCACCACACTCCGGGGCAGAGAGTTCCACTGCTGAACGGCTCTCACAGTCAAGAAGGTCTTCCTCATGTTCAGATGGAATCTCCTTTCTTGTAGTTTGAAGCCATTGTTCCGCGTCCTAGTCTACAGGGCAGCAGAAAACATGCTTGCTCCCTCCTCCCTATGACTTCCTCTCACATATTTATACATGGCTATCCTGTCTCTTCTCAGCCTTCTCTTCTTCAGGCTAAACATGCCCAGCTCTTTAAGCCGCTCCTCATAGGGCTTGTTCTCCAGACCCTTGATCATTTTAATCGCCCTCCTCTGGACACATTCCAGCTTATCAATATCTCTTTTGAATTGTGGTGTCCAGAATTGGACACAATATTCCAGATATGGTCTAACCAAGGCGTAATAGAATAGAGGGGTAGCATGACTTCCTAGTAGATCTTCTTAAAGCTGGAGAAGGGAGAGAGAAAGTAGACCTCCGAGCTATAAGGAGAAAGTAGGCCTTTCTCAGATCTAGACACTATGCTCCTATTGATGCAGGCCAAAATCCCATTGGCTTTTTTGCCGCCACATCACATTGTTGGCTCATGTTTACTTTTTCCTTTCTCCAGCTCTGAGAAAGGCCTACTTTCTCCTTATAGCTCAGAGGTCTACTTTCTCTCTCCCTTCTCCAGCTTTAAGACGACCTACTACAGTATTTTTGCTCTTCCCTAACTCTGAGAATATCTATGACGTTCTCCCTTCTCCAGCTCTGAGAAGATCTGTGATAAGAAGACATTACTTTTTCTTTTCTCCAGCTTTGAGAAAGGCTTACTTTCTCCTTCCTATAGCCCTGGGGTCTAATTTCTTTCTCCCTTTCTCCAGCTCTAAGAAGACCTACTATTTTTGCCTTCTTTCTCCCTTCTCTAGCTCTGAGAAGCTCGAGGGCTTTCTCCCTTCTCCAGCTGGGCAAAGACGGCAACAACAATAACAACAAACAAAACAGCCAGAGCAGCAAACAAGCGAGGAGGCCTGGTTGTCCCTCTGGAAGTCGGAAAGGGCTCTCACCAGGACCAGGCTCCCCCGGATAGAGGCTTCCTCCTGGGCTCCCTCCTCCTGCTGCTGCTCGGTCGAGAGCCAGGCGCCGCGCAAAGCCAAGGCGGAGGAGGAGGCCGGCTCGCCCTGAGCGCCTCCCGCTTGGCCCAGAAGCACGGCCTCCACGCGGGCCTCTCCACCCCCGGCGCCGGCGGAGGCCAGAAGGCCACCCAAGTGGCCCAGCAGGCAGGAGAGCAGCACCGGAGCCCGTAAGGGGGCCCAGCAGCACAGCAGCGAGGCCGGCAGCGCCGCTCTCAAGGCCGCCATCGCAGCGGAAGCCAGGAAGGAAGCCAGGCAACCAAACAAGCACACAGGAAGGCCCGCCCCCGGAACCAAGACCAACCATCGAGTTGGAAGGGAGCCCTCCCAGCCAAGGCCAGCAAGGCCGACACAATCAAGGAAGGAATCAATCCGTCCCAGAGTTGGAAAGGGAACTCAAAAGCCACCCAATCTGACCCCGTTCTGCCAGGAAGGAAGGCACCATCGAATCCCTCCCGACAGATGGCCGTCCGTCTTTAAAGACGTCCAGAGAGGGGAGTCTCTCGTCATCACCATGAAAGATGATGATGATAATCATAATCTAGAGTTGGGACCCCACAAGGCCATCCAGTCTGACCCCATTCCTCCAGGAAGGGAGGCACCATCGAATCCCTCCCGACAGATGGTCGTCCTTTCCTTCTTTAAAGACTTCCAGAGAGGGGAGTCTCCCATCATCCCCATCAAAGATGATGATGATGATAATGATAATGATGACAATAATAATAATATTCTAGAGTTGGTACCCTCAAAGGCTATCCATTCTGACCCCATTCCTCCAGGAAGGAAGGCACCATCGAATCCCTCCCGACAGATGGCCGTCCTTTCCTTCTGTAAAGACTTCCACAGAGAGGAGTCTCCCATCATCACCATCAAAGATGATGATGATGATGATGATAATAATAATAATAATAATAATAATAATATTCTAGAGTTGGGACCCTCAAATGCTATCCAATCTGACCCCATTCCGCCAGGAAGGAAGGCACCATCGAATCCCTCCCGACAGATGGCCATCCTTTCCTTCTTTAAAGACGTCCAGAGAGGGGAGTCTCCCATTGTCACCATCAAAAATGATGATAATTATAATTATAATTATATTCTAGAGTTGGGACCCTCAAAAGCCATCCAGTCTGACCCCATTCCGCCAGGAAGGAAGGCACCATCAAATCCCTCCCGACAGATGGCCGTCCTTTCCTTCTTTAAAGATGTCCAGAGAGGGGAGTCTCCCATCATCACCATCAAAGATGATGATGATAATATTCTAGCGTTGGAACATCACAAGGCCATCCATTCTGACCCCATTCCGCCAGGAAGGAAGGCACCATCGAATCCCTCCCGACAGCTGGCCGTCCTTTACTTCTTTAAAGACGTCCAGAGAGGGGAGTCTCCCATCATCACCATCAAAGATGATGATGATGATAATAATAATAATAATATTCTAGAGTTGGGACCCTCAAAGGCCATCCAGTCTGACCCCATTACGCCAGGAAGGCACCATCGAATCCCTCCCGACAGATGGCCGTCCTTTCCTTCTTTAAAGATATCCAGAGAGGGGAGTCTCCCATCATCACCATCAAAGATGATGATGATAATATTCTAGCGTTGGGACACCACAAGGCCATCCATTCTGACCCCATTCCGCCAGGAAGGAAGGCACCATCGAATCCCTCTCGACAGATGGCCGTCCTTTCCTTCTTTAAAGATGTCCAGAGAGGGATTCTCCCATCATCACCATCAAAGATGATGATGATGATGATGATGATGATGATGATAATAATAATATTCTAGAGTTGGGACCCTCAAAGGCCATCCAGTCTGACCCCATTCCGCCAGGAAGGCACCATCGAATCCCTCCCGACAGATGGCCGTCCTTTCCTTCTTTAAAGACGTCCAGAGAGGGGAATCTCCCATCATCACCATCAAAGATGATGATGATAATATTCTAGAGTTGGGACCCCACAAGGCCACCAGGAAGGAAGGCACCATCAAATCCCTCCCGACATATGGCCCCCCAGCCTCTCCTTCACTATAATAGATTCCCATAGTTGGAAAGGGACCTCAAAAAGCCATCCAGCCTGACCCCGTTCTGCCAGGAATGAAGGCACTTTCTAATTCCTTCCCCACACATGGCCACCCAGTCCTTCCTTAATGATGTCCAGAGAGGGAAGGAGTCGTCCATCATCATCACCACCATCAAAGATGATGATTATGATGATTATATTCTACAGTTCGGACCCCCAAAGGCCACCCGGTCTGACCTCATTCCAACAAGCAGGAAGGCACCATCTAATCCCACATGATAGATGGCCAGACAGTCTCTCCCTAAAGATTTCCAGAGGAGACTCCCATTGTCGTTGTCATCAATTGTTGTTGTTGTTGTTGTTGTTGAATCATAGAGTTGGAAGGGCACCCCAAAGACCATCCACTCCAACCCAGTGCTATACAGAAACACACAATAAATAACTGAACGATTCAGTCCATTCATCATAGACTAATACAGTTGGAAGGCACCCCCAAAGGCCAATACCTTTGATACTATAGACCATGGTATCCTTCTGGATCGCCTCACAAGGATGGGTCTTGGAGGGACTGTTCTGCAGTGGCTCCAGTCCTTTCTGGAAGATCGTACCCAGAAGGTGTTGGGGGACTCCTGCTCAACCCCGCAGCCATTGTCCTGTGGGGTCCCACAGGGCTCAGTTTTGTCCCTGATGTTGTTTAACATCTACATGAAGCCATTGGGTGAGATCATCCAGAGTTTTGGAGTTTGATGCCATCTGTATACAGATGTCGTCCAACTCTATTACTCCTTTCCACCTGCTGCTAAGGAGGCTGTTCAGCTTGCCAGCTGTGACGGTCTGGATGAGGGTGAACAAACTGAAGTTGAATCCTGACAAGACAGAGGTCCTCCTGGTCAGTCGCATGGCCAAACAGGGTATAGGGTTACAGCCTGAGCTGGATAGGGTTACACTCCCCTTGAAGGTGCAGATTCGCAGCCTGGGAGTCCTCCTGGATTCATTGCTCAGCTTGGAACCTCAGGTTGCGGTGGTGGCTCGGCAGGCTTTCGAACAATTAAAATTTCACAACCTCTGAGGATGCCTGCCATAGATGCAGGCGAAACATCAAGAGAGAATGCTTTTAGAGTATGGGCGTATAGCCCAAAAAACCTTCAACAACCCAATTAAAACTTGTGTGCCAGTTGCACCCATACCTTGGGAAGTCAGACTTGGCGATGGTGGTCCATGCTCTTGTTATATCCAGGTTAGACTACTGCAGTGCACTTTATGCGGGGTTGCCTTTGAAGACTGTTCAGAAGCTTCAAATAGTCCAGTGAGAAGCAGCCAAGTTAATAATTGGGGTGGCATACAGGGAGCATACAACTCCCATGTTACATCAGCTCCACTGGCTGCCTGTTTGCTACTGGGCACAATTCAAAATGCTAAACAGCCCCGGGCCAATTTACTGGTCCGAACACATTTCCCTTTACAAACCATTGCAAAGACTAAGATCTTCTAGGGAGGCCCTGCTCTTGGTCCCGCCACCATCACAGGTGCGTTTGGCAGGGACAAGAGAGAGAGAGAGAGGGCCTTCTCAGTGATTGCCCCCCTGTTATGGAACTCCCTTCCTGGTGAGATTAGATCAGCCCCCTCCCTCCCTCCTGTCCTTCAGAAAGATAGTAAAAACCTGGCTGTGGGACCAAGCCTTTGGGGCAGTGCAATAAGCCAATAATACCAAACCTACTCTGCTGATCGGAGCCAGCATGGTGTCTTGAGATGGTTATAAACAGCTGATTTTAAAGTAGATATGAGTGATTTTAATGTTTGTGTATATTTATAGTTTTATGTCCCGGCACTGAATGCCATATATATGTGTGTGTGTGTGTGTGTGTGTGTGTAAATATATATATATATATATATATATATATATATATATATATATATTCCTCCGCCCTTTTCCCCTGCGGGGTGAGAAGGGCGGAATATAAATGTTTTAAATAAATACATACATACACAGATAAATAAAGGGATCCTAGAGTTGGAAGGGACTCATGAAGGTCATCTAGACCAAACCCATTCCTTCTATAAAGGAAGGTACAATGACCGAACAAATGAATGGATCACAGAATCATAGTGTTAGAAGGGAACCTAAAGGCCATCCACTTAACTTCATTCCTGCCAGGTAGAAAGACATCATCTAATCCCTCCTGACGGATGGCCATACAGCCTCTCCTTAATAAGGATAATTATAATAACCATACAATCAAAGATTCCTAGAATTGGACAGGACCCTCAAAAGCCATCTGACCCCATTCTGCCAGGTAGAAAGGTACCACCTAATCCCTCCTGACAGAAGCCCATCCAGCCTGTGCCTAAAGACCTCCAGAAAAGGAAGGCAATTCCATCACACTCTTGCTTTTCCATCCAAGCCAATGTGTGTTCAGGAGCCAGTTTTATGGCCCTGTGTCAATATGCACAGGCTTGCAGGTCTTAACGGGATAGGAAGTCCCATTGACACGCATTAGGGTTGAGTAAACAACTGATAAGAAACGTCTCCTCTTCTCCAATGAAATCTCCAGTTTCTTTGAAACCATTTTTCCAAAAGGTGAATAAATGTATAGCTAAAGAAAAGAGCTAAGGGTAAGTCCAAGAGCAAAGTTTCCTTTCGCTCCTGATCCAAAGGCTCTGCAATCTTTGATCTTGCTTTCGAAAGACCTGGATAAGGATCTGATCCTTGTTAGGCAGAGAGGGCACCAAGAGAGAAGCCCAAAGCTCACTAAAGACATGGCTGATAATAATGCAATCGCTTGCCTAACCCTTTATTATGGATTAAATCCTAAGGCACCTCCCTTGATAAGCTTCTTACAATCCTAAAGTTGAAAGGAGCCCCTAAAGGTCATTCTGTCCAGTCCCCTTCTGTCTTTGTGGTAGATACAACCCAAGCCCTCTCGACAGATGGCCATCCAAGCCTGTTTACAATCCATAACACAGAAACATTGCTTGCAATCTCCTTTGGGATGAGGTAAGGTCAAGCCACAATGGCAAGGTGTCCGACTTTCACAATTTACAAGGGAGGTGCCTTTATTCCTCATGCAATCCATTCGCCCACTGCTCTCTCTTTGAAACTTGCGAAAAGGCGTAGCCACGTCCTTGTTGTTGTTGTTGTGTGCTGTGGGAGGCAAATGTGCAACTGTCAATTGATCCAGGTCTTAAGCTTTAAGGGGTGGTTTCTAATCAGGGAGCCTCAAGTCTGATTTCACTGCC